AGGTACTTTATAGGTAAACTAGCATGTACCCCAAACATACCCAATACATACCTTAACCCTAAGCCAAACCCTAACAAATACTCTAACATGTACCCTACTGGTTAACACAGACCCTAACCATTATCATGTACTGTACAGCTTACATATACCCTAACAAGTACCCTAAACTTATCCCAACATACTTCCTAACGTGTTGCCTAACCCAAACCATAACTGTAACCTTGACACATACCCAAACACATACTGTAATGCACACTCTAAACATTTACATGTAACAAGTACTCTAACATGTACTTCAAGTCATACATGTACCCTAGCATGTGCACAAAACATACCCTGTTTGCTAACATGTACTCTAAACACTAACTCATACCCTAACATGACCATAACACTTATTCAAAACCATGCAAATACCCTTAAATACACTGAAACTTGTACCTTAAAGTAACCCAATGTACACCCTAATATGTGCCCTGACTTTAACATGTCTTTGAACCCCAACAGATTTCCCAATAGTACTCTAACACATTAAACATACTCTAGACACGCATATAATAACAAATACATATTCTATAAAGCGTACAGGTAACCTTACATGTACCCTGAATGTACCCTAACATACTCTAACTCTGACCTTTACATATACCCCAAGTACCTTGACACATATTTAAAAAATTAATGTACCCTAACATGTGACTCAACCATATCCTAACATGTACCTTCACCCTAACGAATCCCCTGTGAAGTATGCTAACTCTAATACATACCCTAATATGTGCCCTAACTAACACACACTCTAGCATGAACCGTAACCCTAACCAATCCCCTATCAAGTACCCTAACTCTAACACATACATGGACATGGACTCAAACACATACCCAATATGTGCCATTACTTTCACATGTATGTTAAACCTAACAGATTCCCAATATACTGTAATACAATAAACATGCTCTGGACACGAACCCATATGGTAACAAGTACCCATTCACATACTCTCTAAATTGTACCTGTACCCTGAATGTACCCTAACAAACTACAACTTCACATTTACCCTAAACGTAGCACATACCCTAATAAATACTCTAAATTCTAATACATTGTCCAAACCATCCAGGTAACCGTCTTATGTGTATCCCAAATGTGTAACCTGTCACATACATGTACCCTAACCTATACCCCATCACACACCCTAATATGTACCCTGACTGACATCCATACACCACTCACTTCTCCTTTGCCACACCCCTCCTGTGCTCTGCCTCCCCACAAGCCCCGCCTCTGGACTCATTGTTGCCCCACCCCTATCATTCTCTGCCCCTACACAAGCCCCGCCCCTGGACCCCTCACTTCCATGCTCTGCTCCTCCCACAAGACTAGAGGGTGCAGTCTGCACTGATTCCCACCAGAGGGCGCTCTGGGTGTGTGCACGGTCCTTCTCAGGACCAGGGGCTGCAGTGGATAAAGTAGAGTGAAGTGTTGAGCTTTAACGCTTTCTTAATTGATGGCTGCTTTTAAGAATGATTCCCACCAGAGGGCGCTCTGGGTGTGTGCACTGTTCTTCTCAGGACCAGAGAGTGCAATGAACACTGATACCCACCAGAGGGCGCTCTGGGTATGTACACTGTCCTTCTCAGGACCAGAGGATGCAGTGAGCACTGATTCCCACAAGAGGGTGCTCTAGGCTTGCACACTGTCCTCCTCTCCTCAGCACCTAGGGTGCGGTGATAGCTGACTCCCACCGGAGGGCGCGCTAGACAGGTGAGCACCTTGCTCCTCTTCTCAAGACCAGGGGTGCAATGAGGGCCGTTTCTCACCAGAGGGTGCCCTAGTCATGCTCACCGTCCTCCTTTCCTCAAGACCAAGGGGTGCGGTGACCACTGATTGCCACCAGATGGTGGTCTAGCTGTGTACATGATCCTCCTCTTCTCAGGTCCAGGGGATGCAGTGACCAATGTTTCCCACCACATGGTGCTCTAGGCCTGCACATGATCTTCCTCATCTCAGGACCAGAGAGGTGCAGTGACCACTGCTTCCCACCAGATGGTGCTCCAGGTATGCACACTGTCCTCAAGACCCTTGGCGTCCCACCAGCCCCGCCCCTGGACCGCTCACTTCCTGCTCCTGCCCCACCCCTGCAGTGCTCCACTCCTCCTCCTAGCCTGTAGCTGCAGCTACTTCTGCCCAGGACCCTGGAAAACTTGAAGCCCTGATGAAGTGTCCCAAAGCCTCAGTGCCAGAGACAGACCAGCCTCTGTTTGGTCCTGCTGCAAACTGTAGTGTCCGAACCCCAGAGCAGTCTTGTCCCAGTGTTACGGGAAAAAAAGTCCACTGTTCAGACAGCCTCACTTAAAAAGATGACTTTCTTGGGGAAGTGGAGAGCTAACCGGCCAGGGACACAGCACAGACTCGGGAGCTGAAACTGCGACCCCGAACAACCCACAAGCTAGGGTTTTTAAAGGCAACATCCATGCCTGGCCACGCACAGGTGGCCAACGGGATTGTAACACCACATAAGGGTTGCATGTTTATGTCCGTGGCTGGTGGGTTACAGTCCGACTCCTAGGAACTGTTTGAACTAACCTATCATTCTGGCTTGCATTGGCGGGCAAATTTGGGGTCCCCACACAAAGCAAGTGGATATTCTTACTCTTGGGGTTTGTATATTCTGGAAACATGATGTTATAGGCCCTGCATCCTTGAAGCTGGGGGCTGTTACAAAGACAGCTACGGGAGCTTTATTACAGAGATAGCTACAGGAGGATGCACAATGTGCACACCGAGGCATCGACTCCCTTGAAGCAGGAGGCAATCGATCACGGGGTGGAATGCACAACGTTGCACGGCAGGCACCGTTCTAATTGGGCAGGGTATGACATAGGGGGGAATTCCATGTGAAATAGGTTTTAAGGTCTCCCTTCGTGGCCTCTCTTTGTTTTTAGTAAAGGGTCAGCTTCTCGGCTTAGTTTTCCTCACACAGTCTGGGACCTTAACAGTCTAGGAGACCCTTTGCCCTACACCAGCTCTCAGTGAATTCTGTGTCAGCTCAAGCCAGCAGTCAGGGCCAGCAGTGATCTGCTGGGTGCCAGGAAGGAGATGGGGCTCCAGAGGAGCCCCATCAATAGGGAGGTAAAATATGGAGGTAGAGGCTGCCAGCAGAGGCAGGAACATTGTAATGGGTTGTGTTCCCAAAGTTCATATAGGGATGCTCTCATCACCCAATACCTGGGAATGTGACCTTACATGGAAATGGGCTTTTGGCAGGAGATCAACTCCAGTTCCTGTTGTTATTGTGCCCCTAAAAGGGGGAAATCGGGTCCCAGAAATGCACCCAGGGATGATCCTCTGCAGAGACGTCACTCTGCTCTCACAGGCTCAGAAGCTGAGAGAAGACCTAGAACTCACAGTGCCTTGTACCTCCTGAGGGAATGTGGCCCAGAAGACACTTATTCCATGCTGCTAAACTTCAGAGCTATGAACACAGATCTCTAAACAACCCAGTCTGCAGTGGTGTGTCATAGCAACCCTAGACCCTAATGTATTTTTAAATCCTTTATAGTATAAATCAGTTATAGCTAATCATTATCATCTAGTTAAGTATCATTTAAGACAGGGAGGATGTTAACACTAAAATCCAGTCCTCACATATCCCCATAAAAGCATTTTACATTTTGTGGAACTTTTCAATGTGCACTGCAATGTACTAGAGGTTAATAGATCAGGGGCTGGGAAGGTGGCTCAGTGGTAGAGCGCTTGCCTTGCATGCCTGAGGCCCTGGGTTCGATTCCCCAGCACCACATAAGCAAAAAGCCGGAAGTGGCGCTGTGGCTCAAGTAGTAGAGCGCTAGCCTTGAGCTGAAGAGCTGAGGGACAGCGCCCAGGCCCAGAGTTCAGGCCCCATGACCAGACCAATATATATATATATATGTTTCAGGTCCTAGTTGTTACTGTAATACATCCATGGTATTCATTTCATTTTGTGTTTTATTTGAAGCAACTCCAAATCTGGGCTCTGACCATTTTCCCAGAATGGAGTCAGACAGAACCACTTCACCTGTGCGCTTTCTCAGCTTCAGGGTGCCGGGACTCATAGTCCATAGGACGTGGCCTCTGCATGACTTCTATGCCACAGGTCCTGAGGCCAGGAGGCCAGTGCACATACGCCTAGTATGCCCTCTGGTGGGAATCGGGACCCACTGCACCCCGAGTCCTGATGAGAGGACAGTGTGCAAGCCTAGGGCGCCCTCTGGTGGGCATCAGATGAGGACAGTGCACAGGCCGAGAGCGCCCTCTGGTGGGCATGTGCTCACTCCACCCCGGGCCCTGACAAGGACAGTGCACAGACCTTGGGCGCCTACTGGTGGGCATCAGTGCTCACTGCACCCCGGGTCCTAATGAGGACAGTGCACAGGCCTAGAGCGCCCTCTGGTGGGCATTAGTGCTTACTGCACCCCGGGTCCTGATGAGAACAGTACACATGCCTAGGGCTCCCTCTGGTGGGCATTAGTGTTCATCGCACCCTGGGTCCTGATGAGGACAGTGCACATGCCTAGAGCGCCCTCTAGTGGGCATTAGTGTTCACAGCACCCTGGGCCCTGATGAGGACAGTGAACACTTAGAGCGCCCTCTGGTGGGCTTCACTGCTCACCGTACCCCGAGTCCCTATTAGAGGACAGTGCACATGCGCCTAGTATGCCCTCTGGTGGGACTCGGGACCCACTGCACCCCGAGTCCTGATGAGAGGACAGTGTGCAAGCCTAGGGCGCCCTCTGGTGGGCATCAGTGCTCACTGCACCCCCGGGTCCTGATGAGGACAGCGCACAGGCCCAGAGCGCCCTCTGCTGGGCATTAGTGTTCACCGCAGCCCGGGTCCCGAGGAGCGCAACTTCTTGAAAAGATCCAGTGGCCTTTGCTTTCACAGCTATATGTTTATAGCACAAGTCGTTAGCAGCATATGTGTTTAATTACCCCATTAAGCTGCACACTACACTCCTTTTGAAAGAAATAACTTTATTTACTTATTGTGCCTCATTCACAAGAGTTATGGTTTGGATAAGAATTTCCTACACAGGCTCCTGTGTTGAATGCTTACTCTCCAGGTGTGGGACATTTTCAAGGGCTCTGGAAACTTAGGGAGATGGGGGCCTAGCTGAAATAGTTCATGGGCACTACTGGGCCTTGAACGCGGGGCTTAGGTGCAGTCCATCCCTGAGCTTTTTCACCCGAGCCGGCACATTAGCGCTTGAGCAATGGCTCCACTTCCAGCTTTTGTTTCAGTTGTCAATGGAAGGTAAGTCTCAAGGCTTTTTCTGCCCTATCTGGATTTGAACTCTCAAAGCCTCCTGAGTAGCTAGAATTTCAAGCATGAGCCACAGATGCCCTGCACAAGCCTCAACTCTCAAAAGATTCTGCCCCACAACATTGCTAGACAAGGGACCAGGCCTCTGTCACAGGACCTTTGGAGACAAACCACATCCAAACCACACCAGTAACCATTCATGGTTATAACTTAAGACTTAAATTATTACAGTTTTTATGTTTTTCCTCATTGTAGAATCTCCTAGAAGACTCAGCAGATCCAATGACAGGAAAAGAAATGAATTTGTCAGTCTCTGAAGGTTTAGAGTATATCCATTAACCTCTAATCTTCATGTAAACCAGAAGATATGCAGTTTCCTGCCTATAAGAGAAATTTATCAGCATAGCAAAATTAAACATTTACAATGAAAGGCTATATGTATTTTTGGGTGGGTTGTGGGACTTGAACTCTGGGCCTGGGCACTGTCCCAGCTCAAAGCGAGGGCTCTACCACTTGAGCCATAAAGCACTTCTAGTTTTCCTGTAGCCAGTTACTTGGAGATAAGAGTCACAAACATTTTCCTGCCCAGGCTGGCTTTGAACCGCAATCCTCAGATCTCAGCCTCCTCAGGAGATAGGATGACAGGAGTGAGCTACCAGTGCCTAGTGAGGGGATATATTATTGATTCACAATAGGACCAAATTTCCAGGATAATGAAGCAAACCTTCATCTACCTAACCTGTCCGTCTCATCAAAGGGAAAGAAAATAGTGACTTGGGAAACTAACCTGCAAGTTCTTATTAGCTAACGTACAAATCATGGACAGCATGGTGCTAACGGCTCATGCCTGTGATCCTAGCTACTCAGGAGGCTGAGATCTGAGGGTCATGGTTCAAAGGCAGCCTGGACAGAAAAGTCTGTGAGACTCTTATCTCCAATAAACTACTCAGAAAAAGCTGGGAAGTAGCACTGTGGTTCGAGTGGTACAGCATTAATCTTGAATACAAAGAGGCTCAGGGATAGCACCCAGGCCCTGAGTTCAAACCAGGACTAAAAGGAAGAAGAAAGAAAGAAAGAAAGAAAGAAAGAAAGAAAGAAAGAAAGAAAGAAAGAAAGAAAGAAAGAAAGAAAGAAAGAAAGAAAGAAAGAAAGGAAGGAAGAAAGAAAGAAAGAAAGAAAGAAAGGAAGGAAGGAAGGAAGGAAGGAAGGAAGGAAGGAAGGAAGGAAGGAAGGAAGGAAGGAAGGAAGGAAAAGAAGGAAGGAAGGAAGGAAGAAAGCAAGCAAGGAAGGAAGCAAGGAAGGAAGGAGGAAAGGACCAGGGACAGACATGTTATGGGACTATAAGCCAACTCCAACCCTGTTTTTTGTAAATAAACTTAATTGGAACATGGCCACTTACATTCATTCATTCACGTGCTGTCTGTGGCACCCTGCATGTTGCAAGGGCAAAGCTGAGTAACAGCTACAGAAGCTATGCTCCAAAACCCTAAGTACTTTCTCTCTAACTTGTACAGAGAAAGTTTGCTAACCCCTATTCTAAATCACAGGGGAATGAATAACCAAAAATTGGCTAAGAACAGGCACCTAAGAGAAATTTTGAGAATAAATAAAAGGAAAACATAAAAAGTAGGTAAAAGGAAGATATCAAACATAAACTCCACCTAATCCATTAATTATGAAATCAAACCTCTGATGTAGCTGAATATCACCTGGTACAAACACCATCACCCCCAATACCACCTCCAGTACCTACACTGTCACCCCCAATACCACCTCCACTACCTACACTGTCACCTCAATACCACCTCCACTACCTACACTATTACCCCCATACCATCTCCACTACCTACACTGTCACCTCAATACCACCTCCACTACCTACACTGTCACCTCAATACCACCTCCACTACCTACACTATTACCCCCATACCATCTCCACTACCTACACTGTCACCTCAATACCACCTCCACTACCTACACTGTCACCTCAATACCACCTCCACTACCTACACTGTCACCCCCATACCACCTCCACTACCTACACTGTCACCCCAATACCACCTCCAGTACCTACACTGTCAGTTCCATTTCCACCTCCAGTACATATAAAAATCTCTGCCTTAACTTTATCCAGCTTTTCTCTCTAGGTTAATGACTACGTCAGTATCATGTCCTGATGCTTACTGAGAAAGAGAAGAGTGGTCCTGGCCCCTGGTCTTCTGGGCACCACTGGCTCACACTTGTAACCCTTGTTATTCAGGAGGCTTAGATCAGAGAATTCAGGTTCAAAGCCAGCAGAGCAGAAAAGTCTTTGATACTCTTATCTCAAATTAACCACACAAAAGCAGGCCGTGGAGTTGTGGTTCATGTGGTCGAGCACTAGCCTTCAGTGAAAAAGCTCAATGCCTAGGCCTAGACTTCAAACCCAAGAACCAGCACCAAAAAAAAAAAAAAAAAAGAGCACATGGTCTGGTGTGAGGGGAAAAGTCGCAAAATCAACAAACATTTTGAAGTGTAATAAAGGAGGCCTGCTCAAAAAGCAACGAAAGCAAATAAGATAGCCCTGCCTTTGGAGCTCCAGCGGTGCAATCGGTTAGCGCGGTACTGATAAGATAGCCCCGCCAATCCGCTGGGGCCCATCAGTAAAGCTTTGCGCAGTAGGAAAGACCGTGATTATCAAAACACCACTAGGCACTTGCTCAGAAGATAAATTAGGACAGGGTCATAGAGACCAGAAAATACAGGTACACAGTTACAGAAGATGATGGACATGGTATTGGGACTTATGCCAGTGCTTTACTTAAGTCTAAATTCTGAGGGAAGTGTGGTGCCAGGGATGACTGCTGAAAGATGAGGCTGAATGGTAGTCAGTGGGGACTCTCGGATAAAGGCAATAGTTCATCCGTGCAGATTTCATAAAGCTCCAAGAACCCAGTGGACTCCATTCCCCCGAGTGCTTCTCTTACCAGCGGTAGTGATGATTTCCATAGGCACACTGGACGTCTTCCCAGGACACCTGGAAGAACATCACAGACATCAGCAGCTGGTTGGCAGCTGCTATTACGTGTGGACAGAACAGGGGACACTGTAATGTGCCCTGTTAGACCCCTGCAGAGAATGGAGAAGCCCACCCTGGCGACCACACAGCATCAGAGCATCTGGTGACACAACGCCGTGCATCCTGAGACCCTCTGTGATGTCCCCACTCACCTTGAAATGCTTACACCTATCCCAGAGTTTTACACCTTGCATCTTTAACGTCTCGCTCCACAGACGTTTCCTACAAAGCATAAACCTTCAAGGTACGGGGCTAAGAGCACTAGAAACCTAACACTGACACAAACAGATGCTTAGAAAGCAATAAACCATGGCTGGGAAGGTGGCTCAGTGGTAGAGTGCTCGCCTAGCATGCATGAAGCCCTGGGTTCCATTCCTCAGTACCACATACAGAAGAAACCGGAAGTGGCGCTGTGGCCGAAGTGGTAGGTAGAGCACTCACCTTGAACACAAAGAGGCTGGGGAACAGCACCCAGACCCTGAGTCTAAGCCCCAAGACAAGCAAAAAAATAAATAAATAAAGCAATAAACCTAGAGAATGGCTTTGAACCACAAAACGCCCCAGCTCCTACACACAAACTACAAGACCATAATGCGTCTTCAACTCTGAGCTGAGAATTCAGAGAAGGAGGAAAGTTTAGATGATGGTTCTCACCCAACAAACATTGGAGTCATTGAAGCAGAGCCATCTTCCATCCGCTGGATTCCGAATGTAGGCACAGTAATGACCGACGTCTGCCATCCCTACGTGGGCTATCACAGCGAAGAGTTCATACTGTGCTTCACGCTGGAAGAGGACAAGGCTGTAAGCGACCCATCCCTCCTTTCCCAGCCCTGGTCTTTAATGAGGAAGCATATTTGCCAGGCACTTGTTTACTGCCTGCTCTAGGCCCGGCACTGACACTTCCAAGGAGCTCGAAGAAAAGACCTTGACCTGCAGAATCTCACAGCTAGTTGAAGAGAAGCATCACAAACCAGAACTGTGATGCCTGTGTTATATCAGACGCACGACCAGTAAGTGGGGGATGTTCAATTTTTGCCAAGTGGGAACTCTGAGGAGGTCTCTGTTAACAGTGCAGAAGGGTTTTTTAACATTGGCAGACAAGTTATCGGAAGGGAATTTGTTTTGGTTTGGTTTGGGGGGGGAGGGGTTGTGAACTTTTTGTTTCACCTTGGTTTCTTCTTTGTTTTTGTTGGTTTGTTTTGGAAGTTGCGGTTTGAACCCAGGGCCTCCTGCGTGCCAGGCAGGAGCCTTACCATTGAATCACGCCCCTAGCTCTGTTTTGTGCTGTTTTTTCCTTCCCCAGGCAAACGTCTGGAACATGATTTCCCCCGCTTCAGGCTTCCTATGATTAATGGGCTGATAGACACATGCCACCATCTGAACAGAAGACATAGTCTGAAAGTCTTCAGTTTGAGGTTAATGAAACTGTGAGAAATATGAGGTGACATTCAAAAAGGTGAGGAGAAGAAATGGAACTAGAATATCCACAAAACGGTGATAGAAAAGAACCCGAAAACGGACAGTGAAATGGCAGGACAGAAACCTTACAAAGACAGTAGGACACGAAGAGGAATGTTACAGACGCAAAGTCTCTACTACATGTGTCCATGAAGTCTTCCTTCCATTCCCTCAATATCTTAGAAAACTGTTTAAAAGAAAAGGGAACATTAGTAGTGAGAGTTTGGGCTGACTTTTTTGTTAGTCAAGAGTATTTCTTTCTTTCAAAAAAAAAAACCATAGCAGCAGAAACCCAACAGTGGTTATTAGGGGTTGTAATGAAAGATGCTGATCAAAGCGCACAAACTTCCAGTTAGACGGGAGGAATGGGTTTCAGAACAATGTCATACAGTATCGATGTGTTCCACACCGGAAAATGCTTTTAAAGAATTTTTACATACGCTCACCACAAAGACACAGGTGAAGTGATAAGTATGTTGTCTAGCTTGAGCTAATCTTTCCAAAATTTGAGGATGGGTGCGGTTGCACACCTATAATCCAGGTTCTCCAGAGGGGGAGATCAGAAAGGCTGTGGACAAAGTCAGCCTGGCCAGAAAGCTAGTGAGACTCCGATCTCAACAGACAAGCCAGACACAAGTGCACACCCGGAAGCCTGTCCCTGGGAGAGGCAGAGGTAGAAGAGCAGTCCAAGGTCAGGCCTGGACAAAAACAAACCACTGCCTGATAACAGAACTCAAGCAAAAAGGCCCAGCGGCTTGGCTCAGATGGTGAATGGCGATGTGCTTGCTACAGGCCCAGCGTGACACATTAGTCAGTGCCAAGACCACAAGACACCATTCCTCCGGCATGCGTACGTCACAGCACCACACTGAAATCCCTACACACAAATACTTTCCATGTGTCAACATTGGAAATAAGGCAGGTTTGTCCTGAATCTTTAAAGAAACTAACACTAGGAACAGCAAAGGCTTGTGGTGACATTGTTATAATGATAACCCCAGCACGGACCCCGGGGGACCACATGGTCATTAAAATCAATAATGCTTAGAAAAAAACAAAAACAGCCTTTCTTTTATTTGTGAGGCAGGGTCTTAACTGTGTAGCTCACACTGGCCTTGAACCAATGCCCCTCTGGTCTACGTCTCCCGGCCGCAAAGAAGATAGGCACGTGCCAACATACTGGCTGAAAAATAAATAAATAAATTGAATTTAAAATGTTTTTAAGCCCTCTGCCTTGAATATGCCTTTGCCTCTGTGACTCGCAGCAACCTGAGGCCAGCCTGTCCTCGGTGCGGGCCCCGCCTAGCCCGCAGAGGGCACACTTCCTCAGACAGAGCAGTGCTCAGAGGCTGAGCTCACCACGCCTGGCTCCCCTCCCGGGGGCGCTGCGCACCCAGCACAGGGCTGCTCCGAGCCCTCACACTGTGGAGGTGAGCTGAAGACCAAATCGCTAACCCGGGCCTGGGGAGCCTGAACCAGGGGAGTCACCAGTCGGTGCCATCTAGCAGTCGAGGGGTAAGAGCGCTGAACCTGGAGGACGCCGCGTCTGGTAGGATCGATCCAGAACACCTCACCTGCTCTGCGTCCTCAGTGAAGTCTTGATGCTCAGCCAGAAGAACCTGACTGAGATCCAAGCGCTGAGGGAAGTGCAGCAAGTGGCAGACTTTCTCCGTCTGTGAGTTCCGAATGGAGAATCGCATCAGGTGAAGGGTCAGGGTTTGGGGCAGATGCGTCATCCTCAAGACCTGCAAAAGCAAAACTCACTGTGAGACGGGGCCCCGAGGCGCTTGCGGGAATATCCTGAGACACGCCGGGCCTGGTGGCTCGTTCTCCTCCCCGGGGGGAGGGGTGCGGGGAACACACTGGGGAGCTGAAGGCTTCCATGGCAGAATCCATTCCTCTCCCCGGAGACTCAGGGGACGCTTGGCCGGCACAGCACTATGGACCTCAGACAAAAGCCGTGAGCTGCTCAGGGCTCCGCAGAGGTGCCTGGCCCTCAGAAACTAGGAGTCTGCTGTAGGGAGCGTCTCTAAAACCAAAGAGGAAACCCCACCGCCCCCACCCAGCCCCATGCCGTCACCTGCCACTCCTGGTGGAAGACTGTGGTCAAGAAGCGACATCCACAGCCCCGTCTATGAGAAGCCCGAGGGTCTGAACTAGCCTCACCCACATCCCACCCCATGCGCCATCAGGAAGGGTCCGGAAGTGTCTGGAAAGCCGTGGCCCAGCAACAGCCCGCCCCGGAGACGCATCTGAACCTGAGGGTGGGCACCTGGCTTCCACGCGTCTTCGTCCCGCAGGCCTCGCAGAACCACTTGCTCTTGCTGGCTAACTCCCTGGGGTGGAAAAAACAGCGCAGGGCCTCCTCTTGCCGGCGGAGGCCGCAGGGAAAGGCCGCGTCAGCAGACCCTTTCCATGGGCACGCGGCCACCCCACAGGTGAGGGCTGAGCTCCGCTGCAGGTTCCCCCACAGTCCCCCAAGCACCCCACTAACAGCGCTACATCTGTCAGGATCTTCCACCCACTGGACGAGAAAACACAAGGAGCCCTGGTTAATACGAGGGTGAGAAAATGAGAAACAGGATAGAACTTCTGCTGCTGCTCAAAGAAATTGGCCACCTAGAGCCGTGCAAGTGAAACAGAGTTGTTAGTGTCCGCGGGTGGAAGGACACGGGGAACTGGCATGGCGGGGGGAAATGGCATTGCTGGGCGACCCTTTCTCACCCAGTCTCTCACCAGTGTTTTCAGAGGCTTTGCGTCCACGTCATAGAGAGGGAGGGAGAGGGTCAGCATACTGCTGTTCCTACTGCTCTCTCTGGTACAGAGGAGGCAAACCAGGGACTCCTTCACCCGGATCGTGTACAGGGCCTGCAGCCTCTCTACCTGCAAGAAGGCGCCAAGGACGGGTGAGGCTATGGCCACAGTTGGACCTGTTGGACTGACGAGCCCTGACGCTCCCGGCAGGTACCGGGAAGGACACCAGGAACCGTGGCAAGCGGTCTCCACGGATCCCTTACTACAAATGCACAATGGTGAGCGACCTCTACAGGTCCTGGGATTCCAGCTTCAGCTCTTACCAAGTCCACATCATCTATTTGATCCTTAAGAAGGTTCCAGAACGTGAGGTAGAGCTGAGCAGCATCGTGCTGGACAAACACTGGTTAAAAAAAAGGAACAGCACATCAGTGCGTTCGCTGGACAAGTCCCATGTCCTCACGACCCCTAGCTACGTGAACACTCACCACCTTGCCTTTGACTCTCCCAACTTCCAAAAAAGGTCAGGAGGTACCACATGTCAGGCGCTCAGGTAGGGAGAAGCATTCTTGGTGGTGGATTTGACAGCGCCTCTTAAACTTAAGCCTCGGGAAGGGAACAAGGCTGTGCTCTACGCACTCTGAAGGGTATGGTACACCGGCAGCCTCAGTGGAGGGGGAAAGGCTTGCCACAGAAAAGCCAGAGCAGGAGCTGAACTCCCTGAGCGGCGCAGAGAGGTGGGCACATGCTGACGGGCCGGCCGGGGGCTGCCGGGCATGCCCCGCCTGGCCCCACTGGATTCCGTAGAACAGACCAGCTCCAGGGACTCTCCAGAGCACAGGAGCGGCGCCTCCTCGCTCCATCCGCTGCTCTGTTCCCAGCTTGCACCTGGCCAAGCCAGAACTCTGAAGGGAGGCGCAGACCACCAGATGGAGCGCCAGACGGCATTTCTTCTCAGCAAAGAAAAAAAATTACTCCTTTTTTTTTTTGCTTTACTTTTTTATTTATTTATTTATTTTTGGGTCTGGTTGTGGGGCCTGAACTCTGGGCCTGGGCGCTGTCCCTCAGCTCTTCAGCTCAAGGCTAGCGCTCTACCACTTGAGCCACAGCGCCACTTGCGGCTTTTTTTCTTTTTGCTTCTGTGATGCTGAGGAATCGAACCCAGGGCCTCAGGCATGCAAGGCAAGCGCTGTACCACTGAGCCTCCATATTCATACCATATCCATAACCCCAACCCATCCCACAGAGTTCTTCCTCACACATTCCCTAACCCTAAACCTTTCCTGGACCCTTACTCTAACATTTCCTCAAGTGCATCCCCAACCTCACCCTTTGTCTACCATATTTTCCCTACACCCTTTCCTGACCTTAAGCCTGACCTATTCCCATAATCCAAATGCTAGCCCTAACCTCACCAGATTGATAAAATCCTAACACTGACAATGACCCTGACTCTGACCCTAACCCCCAACCCTAGCACATGCTCCAACATGTACCCTATCAGTTATCCTAACACATACCTTACTCTAAAACCCTAAACTGTACCACATACCCTAATAAGTACCCTAACAAATATAGTAAACAGTGTCACATTCTATCAAGTACCCTAACAAGTACTGTAAACCATACAGGCACATTTACGTACACCCTATCATCTACCTCAAATTCACCTTACCGCATACCCAAACACGTGCCCTTAATTAACCCAAACCATAACCCTAATATACACTATAGCGTATACTTTAACCCTAACACATACCCTAACTCTAACACGAACCCTGACATATACCATAAACTTCATTCTAACTCACACACATGCCATAACATACACTCTAAACGCTAAAATGTGTGGTAACAATGACTCCTACATGCACTCTAATACATGCAAGTACTCTTATAGTTAGGTAAACTAGCATGTACCCCAAACATACCATAATACATACCTTAACTCTAAGCCAAACCCTAACAAATGCTCTAACATGTACCCTACTGGTTAACACAGACCCTAACCATTATCATGTACTGTAAAGCTTACATATACCCTAACAAGTACCCTAAACTTATCCCAACATACTTCCTAACATGTTGCCTAACCCAAACCATAACTGTAACCTTAACACACAACCAAACACATACTGTAACACACACTCTAAACATTTTCATGTATCCTAACAAGTACTCTAACATGTACTTCAAGTCATACATGTGCCCTAGCATGTGCACAAAACATACCCTGTTTGCTAACTGTACTCTAAACCCTAACAAGGACCCTAACACTTATTCAAAACCATGCAAATACCCTTAAATACACTCAAACTTGTACCTTAAAGTAACCCAATGTACACCCTAATATGTGCCCTGACTTTAACATGTATTTTAACCCCAACAGATTTCCCAATAGTACTCTAACACATTAAACATACTCTAGACACGCATATAATAACAAATACCCTAACACATATTCTATAAAGCGTACAGGTAACCTTACATGTACCCTGAATGTACCCTAACATACTCTAACTCTGACCTTTACATATACCCCAAGTACCTTGACACATACTTAAAAAAATTAATGTACCCTAACATGTGACTCAACCATATCCTAACATGTACCTTCACCCTAACGAATCCCCTGTGAAGTATGCTAACTCTAATACATACCCTAATATGTGCCCTAACACACATTCTACCATGTACCGTAACCCTAACAAATCCCCTATCAAGTGCCCTAACTCTAACACATACATGGACATGGACTCAAACACATACCCTAATATGTGCCATCACTTTCACATGTATGTTAAACCTAACAGATTCCCAATATACTGTAATACAATAAACATGCTCTGGACACGAACCCATATGGTAACAAGTACCCATTCACATACTCTCTAAATTGTACCTGTACCCTGAATGTACCCTAACAAACTACAACTTCACATTTACCCTAAACGTAGCACATACCCTAATAAATACTCTAAATTCTAATACATTGTCCAAACCATACAGGTAACCGTCTTATGTGTATCCCAAATGTGTAACCTGACACATACATGTACCCTAACATATACTCCATCACACACCCTAATATGTACCCTGACTGACATCCATACACCACTCACTTCTCCTTTGCCACACCCCTCCTGTGCTCTGCCTCCCCACAAGCCCCACCTCTGGACTCATTCTTGCCCCACCCCTATCATTCTCTGCCCCTACACAAGCCCCGCCCCTGGACCCCTCACTTCCATGCTCTGCTCCTCCCACAAGACTAGAGGATGCAGTCAGCACTGAATCCCACCAGAGGGCGCTCTGGGTGTGTGCACGGTCCTTCTCAGGACCAGGGGCTGCAGTGGATAAAGTAGAGTGAAGTGTTGAGCTTTAACGCTTTCTTAATTGATGGCTGCTTTTAAGAATGATTCCCACCAGAGGGCGCTCTGGGTGTGTGCACTGTTCTTCTCAGGACCAGAGAGTGCAATGAACACTGATACCCACCAGAGGGCGCTCTGGGTATGTACACTGTCCTTCTCAGGACCAGAAGGGGCAGTGAGCACTGATTCCGACCAGAGGGCGCTCTAGGTGTGCACACTGTGCTCCTCTTGTCCTGGCCAGGTATGCAGTGTTCACTAATTCCCACCTGATGGTGCTCTAGGTGTGTGTACTGTCCTCCTCAGGACCCCAGATCCTCCCACAAGCCCACCCCTGCACTGCTCACTTCTTGCTCTGCTCCGCCCACAAAACCAGAAGATGCAGTGAGCACTGATTCCCACAAGAGGGTGCTCTAGGCTTGCACACTGTCCTCCTCTCCTCAGCACCTAGGGTGCGGTGATAGCTGATTCCCACCCGAGGGCACGCTAGACAGGTGAGCACCTTGCTCCTCTTCTCAAGACCAGGGGTGCAATGAGGGCTGTTTCCCACCAGAGGGTGCCCTAGTCATGCTCACCGTCCTCCTTTCCTCAAGACCAAGGGGTGCGGTGAGCGCTGATTCCCACCAGATGGTGGTCTAGCTGTGTACATGATCCTCCTCTTCTCAGGTCCAGGGGATGCAGTGACCAATGTTACCCACCAGATGGTGCTCTAGGCCTGCACATGATCTTCCTCATCTCAGGACCAGAGAGGTGCAGTGACCACTGCTTCCTACCAGATGGTGCTCTAGGTATGCACACTGTCCTCAGGACCCTTGGCGTCCCACCAGCCCCGCCCCTGGACCGCTCACTTCCTGCTCCTGCCCCACCCCTGCAGTGCTCCACTCCTCCTCCTAGCCTGTAGCTGCAGCTACTTCTGCCCAGGACCCTGGAAAACTTGAAGCCCTGATGAAGTGTCCCAAAGCCTCAGTGCCAGAGACAGACCAGCCTCTGTTTGGTCCTGCTGCAAACTGTAGTGTCCCAACCCCAGAGCAGTCTTGTCCCAGTGTTACGGGGGGAAAAGTCCACTGTTCAGACAGCCTCACTTAAAAAGATGACTTTCTTGGGGAAGTGGAGAGCTAACCGGCCAGGGACGCAGCACAGACTCGGGAGCTGAAACTGCGACCCCGAACAACCCACAAGCTAGGGTTTTTAAAGGCAACATCCACGCCTGGCCACGCACAGGTGGCCAACGGGATTGTAACAGCACATAAGGGTTGCATGTTTATGTCCGTGGCTGGTGGGTTACAGTCCGACTCCTAGGAACTGTTTGAACTAACCTATCATTCTGGCTTGCATTGGCGGGCAAATTTGGGGTCCCCACACAAAGCAAGTGGATATTCTTACTCTTGGGGTTTGTATATTCTGGAAACATGATGTTATAGGCCCTGCATCCTTGAAGCTGGGGCCTGTTACAAAGACAGCTACAGGAGCTTTATTACAGAGATAGCTACAGGAGGATGCGCAATGTGCACACCGAAGCATCGACTCCCTTGAAGCAGGAGGCAATCGATCACAGGGTGGAATGCACAACGTTGCACGGCAGGCACCGTTCTAATTGGGCAGGGTATGACATAGGGGGGAATTCCATGTGAAATAGGTTTTAAGGTCTCCCTTCATGGCCTCTCTTTGTTTTTAGTAAAGGGTCAACTTCTCGGCATAGTTTTCCTCACACAGTCTGGGACCTTAACAGTCTAGGAGACCCTTTGCCCTACACCAGCTCTCAGTGAATTCTCAGTGTCAGCTCAAGCCAGCAGTCAGGGCCAGCAGTGATCTGCTGGGTGCCAGGAAGGAGATGGGGCTCCATAGGAGCCCCATCAATAGGGAGGTAAAATATGGAGGTAGAGGCTGCCCAGCAGAGGCAGGTACATTGTAATGGGTTGTGTTCCCAAAGTTCATGTATGCATGCTCTCATCACCCAATACCTGGGAATGTGACCTTATATGGAAGTAGGCTTTGGCAGAAGATCAACTCCAGTTCCTGTTGTTATTGTGTCCCTAAAAGGGGGAAATCGGGTCCCAGAAATGCACCCAGGGATGATCCTCTGCAGAGACGTCACTCTGCTCTCACAGGCTCAGAAGCTGAGAGAAGACCTAGAACTCACAGTGCCTTGTACCTCCTGAGGGAATGTGGCCCAGAAGACACATATTCCATGCTGCTAAACTTCACAGCTATGAACACAGATCTCTAAACAACCCAGTCTGCAGTGGTGTGTCAGAACAACCCTAGACCCTTATGTATGTTTAAATCCTTTATAGTATAAATCAGTTATAGCTAATCATTATCATCTAGTCAAGTATCATTTAAGACAGGGAGGATGTTAACACTAAAAACCAGTCCTCACATATCCCCATAAAAGCATTTTACATTTTGTGGAACTTTTCAATGTGCACTGCAATGTACTAGAGGTTAATAGATCAGGGGCTGGGAAGGTGGCTCAGTGGTAGAGCGCTTGCCTTGCATGTCTGAGGCCCTGGGTTCGATTCCCCAGCACCACATAAGCAAAAAGCAAAAAGCCGGAAGTGGCGCTGTGGCTCAAGTGGTAGAGCACTAGCCTTGAGCCGAAGAGCTGAGGGACGGCGCCCAGGCCCAGAGTTCAGGCCCCACGAGGGGACCAATACATATATATATTTCAGGTCCTAGTTGTTACTGTAATACATCCATGGTATCCATTTCATTTTGTGTTTTATTTGAAGCAACTCTAAATCCGACCCTGATCATTTTCCCAGAATGGAGTCAGACAGAACCACTTCACCTGTGCGCTTTCTCAGCTTCAGGGTGCCGGGACTCATAGTCCATAGGACGTGGCCTCTGCATGTCTTCTATGCCACAGGTCCTGAGGCCAGGAGGCCAGTGCACATACGCCTAGTATGCCCTCTGGTGGGAATCGGGACCCACTGCACCCCGAGTCCTGATGAGAGGACAGTGTGCAAGCCTAGGGCGCCCTCTGGTGGGCATCAGTGCTCACCGCACCCCGGGTCCTGATGAGGACAGCGCACAGGCCCAGAGCGCCCTCTGCTGGGCATTAGTGTTCACCGCAGCCCGGGTCCCGAGGAGCGCAACTTCTTGAAAAGATCCAGTGGCCTTTGCTTTCACAGCTATATATTTATAGCACAAGTCGTTAGCAGCATATGTGTTTAATTACCCCATTAAGCTGCACACTACACTCCTTTTGAAAGAAATAACTTTATTTACTTATTGTGCCTCATTCACAAGAGTTATGGTTTGGATAAGAATTTCCTACACAGGCTCCTGTGTTGAATGCTTACTCTCCAGGTGTGGGACATTTTCAAGGGCTCTGGAAACGTAGGGAGACGGGGGCCTAGCTGAAATAGTTCATGGGCACTACTGGGCCTTGAACGCGGGGCTTAGGTGCAGTCCATCCTTGAGCTTTTTCACTCGAGCCGGCACATTAGCACTTGAGCAATGGCTATACTTCCAGCTTTTGTTTCAGTTGTCAATGGAAGGTAAGTCTCAAGGCTTTTTCTGCCCTATCTGGATTTGAACTCTCAAAGCCTCCTGAGTAGCTAGAATTTCAAGCATGAGCCACAGATGCCCTGCACAAGCCTCAGCTCTCAAAAGATTCTGCCCCACAACATTGCTAGACAAGGGACCAGGCCTCTGTCACAGGACCTTTGGAGACAAACCACATCCAAACCACACCAGTACCCATTCATGGTTATAACTTAAGACTTAAATTATTACAGTTTTTATGTTTTTCCTCATTGTAGAATCTCCTAGAAGACTCAGCAGATCCAATGACAGGAAAAGAAATGAATTTGTCAGTCTCTGAAGGTTTAGAGTATATCCATTAACCTCTAATCTTCATGTAAACCAGAAGATATGCAGTTTCCTGCCTATAAAGAGAAATTTATCAGCATAGCAAAATGAAACATTTACAATGAAAGGCTGTATGTATTTTTGGGTGGGTTGTGGGACTTGAATTCTGGGCCTGGGCACTGTCCCAGCTCAAGGCGAGGGCTCTACCACTTGAGCCATAAAGCCACTTCTAGTTTTCTGTAGCCAGTTACTTAGAGATAAGAGTCACAAACATTTTCCTGCCCAGGCTGGCTTTGATCCGCAATCCTCAGATCTCAGCCTCCTCAGTAGCTAGGATGACAGGAGTGAGCTACCAGTGCCTAGTTGAGGGGATATATTATTGATTCACAATAGGACCAAATTTCCAGGATAATGAAGCAAACCTTCATCTATCTAACCTGTCCGTCTCATCAAAGGGAAAGAAAATAGTGACTTGGGAAACTAACCTGTAAGTTCTTATTAGCTAACATACAAATCATGGACAGCATGGTGCTAACGGCTCATGCCTGTGATCCTAGCTACTCAGGAGGCTGAGATCTGAGGGTCATGGTTCAAAGGCAACCTGGACAGAAAAGTCTGTGAGACTCTTATCTCCAATAAAATACTCAGAAAAAGCTGGAAGTAGCACTGTGGTTCGAGTGGTACAGCCTTAATCTTGAATACAAAGAGGCTCAGGGATAGCACCCAGGCCCTGAGTTCATACCCAGGACTAGAAGAAAGAAAGGAAGAAAGGAAGGAAGGAAGGAAGGAAGGAAGGAAGGAAGGAAGGAAGGAGGAAAGGACCAGGGACAGACATGTTATGGGACTATAAGCCAACTCCAACCCTGTTTTTTGTAAATAAACTTAATTGGAACATGGCCACTTACATTCATTCATTCACGTGCTGTCTGTGGCACCCTGCATGTTGCAAGGGCAAAGCTGAGTAACAGCTACAAAAGCTATGCTCCAAAACCCTAAGTACTTTCTCTCTAACTAGTACAGAGAAAGTTTGCTAACCCCTATTCTAAATCACAGGGGAATGAATAACCAAAAATTGGCTAAGAACAGGCACCTAAGAGAAATGTTGAGAATAAATAAAAGGAAAATATGAAAAGTAGGTAAAAGGAAGATATCAAACATAAGCTCCACCTAATCCATTAATTATGAAATCAAACCTCTGATGTAGCTGAATATCACCTGGTACAAGCACCATCACCCCCAATACCACCTCCAGTACCTACACTGTCACCCCCATACCACCTCCACTACCTACACTGTCACCTCAATACCACCTCCACTACCTACACTGTCACCTCAATACCACCTCCACTACCTACACTGTCACCCCCATATCACCTCCACTACCTACACTGTCACCTCAATACCACCTCCACTACCTACACTGTCACTCCCATATCACCTCCACTACCTACACTGTCACCCCAATACCACCTCCACTACCTACACTGTCACCCCCAATACCACCTCCAGTACCCACACCGTCAGTTCCATTTCCACCTCCAGTACATATAAAAATCTCTGCCTTAACTTTATCCAGCTTTTCTCTCTAGGTTAATTACTACGTCAGTATCATGTCCTGATGCTTACTGAGAAAGAGAAGAGTGGTCCTGGCCCCTGGTCTTCTGGGCACCACTGGCTCACACTTGTAACGCTTGTTATTCAGGAGGCTTAGATCAGAGAATTCAGGTTCAAAGCCAGCAGAGCAGAAAAGTCTTTGATACTCTTATCTCAAATTAACCACACAAAAGCAGGCCGTGGAGTTGTGGTTCATGTGGTCGAGCACTAGCCTTGAGTGAAAAAGCTCAATGCCTAGGCCTAGACTTCAAACCCAAGAACCAGCACCAAAAAAAAAAAAAAAAAAAAAAACAGAGCACATGGTCTGGTGTGAGGGGAAAAGTCGCAAAATCAAAAAACATTTTGAAGTGTAATAAATGAGGCCTGCTCAAAAAGCAACGAAAGCAAATAAGATAGCCCTGCCTTTGGAGCTCCAGCGGTGCAATCGGTTAGCGCGGTACTGATAAGATAGCCCCGCCAATCCGCTGGGGCCCATCAGTAAAGGCTTTGCGCAGTAGGAAAGACAGTGATTATCAAAACACCACTAGGCACTTGCTCAGAAGATAAATTAGGACAGGGTCATAGAGACCAGAAAATACAGGTACACAGTTACAGAAGATGATGGACATGGTATTGGGACTTATGCCAGTGCTTTACTTAAGTCTAAATTCTGAGGGAAGTGTGGTGCCAGGGATGACTGCTGAAAGATGAGGCTGAATGGTAGTCAGTGGGGACTCTCGGATAAAGGCAATAGTTCATCCGTGCAGATTTCATAAAGCTCCAAGAACCCAGTGGACTCCATTCCCCCAAGTGCTTCTCTTACCAGCGGTAGTGATGATTTCCATAGGTACACTGGACGTCTTCCCAGGACACCTGGAAGAACATCACAGACATCAGCAGCTGGTTGGCAGCTGCTATTACGTGTTGACAGAACAGAGGACACTGTAATGTGCCCTGTTAGACTCCTGCAGAGAATGGAGAAGCCCACCCTGGCGACCACACAGCATCGGAGCATCTGGTGACACAACGCCGTGCATCCTGAGACCCTCTGTGATGTCCCCACTCACCTTGAAATGCTTACACCTATCCCAGAGTTTTACACCTTGCATCTTTAACGTCTCGCTCCACAGACGTTTCCTACAAAGCATAAACCTTCAAGGTACGGGGCTAAGAGCACCAGAAACCTAACACTGACACAAACAGATGCTTAGAAAGCAATAAACCATGGCTGGGAAGGTGGCTCAGTGGTAGAGTGCTCGCCTAGCATGCATGAAGCCCTGGGTTCCATTCCTCAGTACCACATACACAGAAAAAGCCGGAAGTGGCGCTGTGGCCCAAGTGGTAGGTAGAGCACTCTCCTTGAACACAAAGAGGCTGGAGAACAGCACCCAGACCCTGAGTCTAAGTCCCAAGACAAGCAAGAAAATAAATAAATAAAGCAATAAACCTAGAGAATGGCTTTGAACCACAAAACTCCCCAGCTCCTACACACAAACTAGAAGACCATAATGCGTCTTCAACTCTGAGCTGAGAATTTATTGAAGGTGGCTAATTCAGAGAAGGAGGAAAGTTTAGATGATGGTTCTCACCCAACAAACATTGGAGTCATTGAAGCAGAGCCATCTTCCATCCGCTGGATTCCGAATGTAGGCACAGTAATGACCGAAGTCTGCCATCCCTACGTGGGCTATCACAGCGAAGAGTTCATACTGTGCTTCACGCTGGAAGAGGACAAGGCTGTAAGCGACCCATCCCTCCTTTCCCAGCCCTGGTCTTTAATGAGGAAGCATATTTGCCAGGCACTTGTTTACTGCCTGCTCTAGGCCCGGCACTGACACTTCCAAGGAGCTCGAAGAAAAGACCTTGACCTGCAGAATCTCACAGCTAGTTGAAGAGAAGCATCACAAACCAGAACTGTGATGCCTGTGTTATATCAGACGCACGACCAGTAAGTGGGGGATGTTCAATTTTTGCCAAGTGGGAACTCTGAGGAGGTCTCTGTTAACCATGCAGAAGGGTTTTTTAACATTGGCAGACAAGTTATCGGAAGGGAATTTGTTTTGGTTTGGTTTGGTTTGGGGGGGAAGGGGTTGTGAACTTTTTGTTTCACCTTGGTTTCTTCTTTGTTTTTGTTGGTTTGTTTTGGAAGTTGTGGTTTGAACCCAGGGCCTCCTGCGTGCCAGGCAGGAGCCTTACCATTGAATCACACCCCTAGCTCTGTTCTGTGCTGTTTTTTCCTTCCCCAGGCAAACGTCTGGAACATGATTTCCCCCGCTTCAGGCTTCCTATGATTAATGGGCTGATAGACACATGCCACCATCTGAACAGAAGACATAGTCTGAAAGTCTTCAGTTTGAGGTTAATGAAACTGTGAGAAATATGAGGTGACATTCAAAAAGGTGAGGAGAAGAAATGGAACTAGAATATCCACAAAACGCTGACAGAAAAGAACCCGAAAACGGACAGTGAAATGGCAGGACAGAAACCTTACAAAGACAGTAGGACACGAAGAGGAATGTTACAGACGCAAAGTCTCTACTACATGTGTCCATGAAGTGTTCCTTCCACTCCCTCAATATCTTAGAAAACTGTTTAAAAGAAAATGGAACATTAGTAGTGAGAGTTTGGGCTGACTTTTTTGTTAGTCAAGAGTATTTCTTTCTTTCAAAAAAAAACCATAGCAGCAGAAACCCAACAGTGGTTATTAGGGGTTGTAATGAAAGATGCTGATCAAAGCGCACAAACTTCCAGTTAGACGGGAGGAATGGGTTTCAGAACAATGTCATACAGTATCGATGTGTTCCACACCGGAAAATGCTTTTCAAGAATTTTTACATACGCTCACCACAAAGACACAGGTGAAGTGATAAGTATGTTGTCTAGCTTGAGCTAATCTTTCCAAAATTTGAGGATGGGTGCGGTTGCACACCTATAATCCAGGTTCTCCAGAGGGGGAGATCAGAAAGGCTGTGGACAAAATCAGACTGGCCAGAAAGCTAGTGAGACTCCGATCTCAACAGACAAGCCAGACACAAGTGCACACCCGGAAGCCTGTCCCTGGGAGAGGCAGAGGTAGAAGAGCAGTCCAAGGTCAGGCCTGGACAAAAACAAACCACTGCCTGATAACAGAACTCAAGCAAAAAGGCCCAGCGGCTTGGCTCAGATGGTGAATGGCGATGTGCTTGCTACAGGCCCAGCGTGACACATTAGTCAGTGCCAAGACCACAAGACACCATTCCTCCGGCATGCATACGTCACAGCACCACACTAAAATCCCTACACACAAATACTTTCCATGTGTCAACATTGGAAATAAGGCAGGTTTGTTCTGAATCTTTAAAGAAACTAACACTAGGAACAGCAAAGGCTTGTGGTGACATTGTTATAGTGATAACCCCAGCACGGACCCCAGGGGACCACATGGTCATTAAAATCAATAATGCTTAGAAAAAAAACAAAAACAGCCTTTCTTTTATTTGTGAGGCAGGGTCTTAACTGTGTAGCTCACACTGGCCTTGAACCAATGCCCCTCTGGTCTACGTCTCCCGGCCGCAAAGAAGATAGGCACGTGCCAACATACTGGCTGAAAAATAAATAAATAAATTGAATTTAAAATGTTTTTAAGCCCTCTGCCTTGAATATGCCTTTGCTTCTGTGACTCGCAGCAGCCTGAGGCCAGCCTGTCCTCGTTGCGGGCCCCGCCTAGCCCGCAGAGGGCACACTTCCTCAGACAGAGCAGTGCTCAGAGGCTGAGCTCACCACGCCTGGCTCCCCTCCCGGGGGCGCTGCGCACCCAGCACAGGGCTGCTCCGAGCCCTCACACAGTGGAGGTGAGCTGAAGACCAAATCCCTAACCCGGGCCTGGGGAGCCTGAACCAGGGGATTCACCAGTCGGTGCCATCTAGCAGTCGAGGGGGAAGAGCGCTGAACCTGGAGGACGCCGCGTCTGGCAGGATCGATCCAGAACACCTCACCTGCTCTGCGTCCTCAGTGAAGTCTTGATGCTCAGCCAGAAGAACCTGACTGAGATCCAAGCGCTGAGGGAAGTGCAGCAAGTGGCAGACTTTCTCCGTCTGTGAGTTCCGAATGGAGAATCGCATCAGGTGAAGGGTCAGGGTTTGGGGCAGATGCGTCATCCTCAAGACCTGCAAAAGCAAAACTCACTGTGAGACGGGGCCCCGAGGCGCTTGCGGGAAGATCCTGAGAAACGCCGGGCCTGGTGGCTCGTTCTCCTCCCCAGGGGGAGGGGTGCGGGGGACACACTGGGGAGCTGAAGGCTTCCATGGCAGAATCCATTCCTCTCCCCGGAGACTCAGGGGACGCTTGGCCGGCACAGCACTATGGACCTCAGACAAAAGCCATGAGCTGCTCAGGGCTCCGCAGAGGTGCCTGGCCCTCAGAAACTAGGAGTCTGCTGTAGGGAGCGTCTCTAAAACCAAATAGGAAACCCCACCGCCCCCAGCCAGCCCCATGCCGTCACCTGCCACTCCTGGTGGAAGACTGTGGTCAAGAAGCGACATCCACAGCCCCGTCTATGAGAAGCCCGAGGGTCTGAACTAGCCTCACCCACATCCCACCCCATGCGCCATCAGGAAGGGTCCGGAAGTGTCTGGAAAGCCGTGGCCCAGCAACAGCCCGCCCCGGAGACGCATCTGAACCTGAGGGTGGGCACCTGGCTTCCAAACGTCTTCGTCCCGCAGGCCTCGCAGAACCACTTGCTCTTGCTGGCTAACTCCCTGGGGTGGAAAAAACAGCGCAGGGCCTCCTCCTGCCGGCGGAGGCCGCAGGGAAAGGCCGCGTCAGCAGACCCTTTCCATGGGCACGCGGCCACCCCACAGGTGAGGGCTGAGCTCCGCTGCCGGTTCCCCCACTGTTCCCCAAGCACCCCACTACCAGCGCTACATCTGTCAGGATCTTCCACCCACTGGAGGAGAAAACATAAGGAGCCCTGGTTAATACGAGGGTGAGAAAATGAGAAACAGGATAGAACTTCTGCTGCTGCTCAAAGAAATTGGCCACCTAGAGCCATGCAAGTGAAACAGAGTTGTTAGTGTCCGCGGGTGGAAGGACACGGGGAACTGGCATGGCGGGGGGAACTGGCATGGCGGGGCGACCCTTTCTCACCCAGTCTCTCACCAGTGTTTGCAGAGGCTTTGCGTCCACATCATAGAGAGGGAGGGAGAGGGTCAGCATACTGCTGTTCCTACTGCTCTCTCTGGTACAGAGGAGGCAAACCAGGGACTCCTTCACCCGGATCGTGTACAGGGCCTGCAGCCTCTCTACCTGCAAGAAGGCGCCAAGGACGGGTGAGGCTACGGCCACAGTTGGACCTGTTGGACTGACGAGCCCTGACGCTCCCGGCAGGTACCAGGAAGGACACCAGGAACCGTGGCAAGCGGTCTCCACGGATCCCTTACGACAAATGCACAATGGTGAGCGACCTCTACAGGTCCTGGGATTCCAGCTTCAGCTCTTACCAAGTCCACATCATCTATTTGATCCTTAAGAAGGTTCCAGAACGTGAGGTAGAGCTGAGCAGCATCGTGCTGGACAAACACTGGTTAAAAAAAAAGAACAGCGCATCAGTGCGGTCGCTGGAGCAGTCCCATGTCCTCACGACCCCTAGCTACGTGAACACTCACCACCTTGCCTTTGACTCTCCCAACTCCCAAAAGAGGTCAGGAGGTACCACATGTCAGGCGCTCAGGAAGGGAGAAGCATTCTTGGTGCTGGATTTGACAGCGCCTCTTAAACTTAAGCCTCGGGAAGGGAACAAGGCTGTGCTCTACGCACTCTGAAGGGTATGGTACACCGGCAGCCTCAGTGGAGGGGGAAAGGCTTGCCACAGAAAAGCCAGAGCAGGAGCTGAACTCTCTGAGCGGCGCAGAGAGGTGGGCACATGCTGCCGGGCCGGCCGGGGGCTGCTGGGCATGCCCTGCCTGGCCCCACTGGATTCCGTAGAACAGACCAGCTCCAGGGACTCTCCAGAGCACAGGAGCGGCGCCTCCTCGCTCCATCCGCTGCTCTGTTCCCAGCTTGCACCTGGCCAAGCCAGATCTCTGAAGGGAGGCGCAGACCACAAGATGGAGCGCCAGACGGCATTTCTTCTCAGCAAAGAAAGAAAAATTACTCCTTTTTTTTTTTGCTTTACTTTTTTTTTTATTTATTTATTTTTGGGTCTGGTTGTGGGGCCTGAACTCTGGGCCTGGGCGCTGTCCCTCAGCTCTTCAGCTCAAGGCTAGCGCTCTACCACTTGAGCCACAGCGCCACTTCCGGCTTTTTTTCTTTTTGCTTCTGTGATGCTGAGGAATCGAACCCAGGGCCTCAGGCATGCAAGGCAAGCGCTGTACCACTGAGCCTCTATATTCATACCATATCCATAACCCCAACCTATCCCACAGAGTTCTTCCTCCCACATTCCCTAACCCTAAACCTTTCCTGGACCCTTACTCTAACATTTCCTCAAGTGCATCCCCAACCTCACCCTTTGTCTACCATATTTTCCCTACACCCTTTCCTGACCTTAAGCCTGACCTATTCCCATAATCCAAATGCTAGCCCTAACCTCACCAGATCGATAAAATCCTAACACTGACAATGACCCTGACTCTGACCCTAACCCCCAACCCTACCACATGCTCCAACATGTACCCTATCAGTTATCCTAACACATACCTTACTCTAAAACCCTAAACTGTACCGCATACCCTAATAAGTACCCTAACAAATATAGTAAACAGTGCCACATTCTATCAAGTACCTTAACAAGTACTGTAAACCATACAGGCACATTTACGTACACCCTATCATCTACCTCAAATTCACCTTACCGCATACCCAAACACGTGCCCTTAATTAACCCAAACCATAACCCTAATATACACTATAGCGTATACTTTAACCCTAACACATACCCTAACTCTAACACGAACCCTGACATATACCATAAACTTCATTCTAACTCACACACATGCCATAACATACACTCTAAACGCTAAAATGTGTGGTAACAATGACTCTTACATGCACTCTAATACATGCAAGTACTCTTATAGTTAGGTAAACTAGCATGTACCCCAAACATACCCTAATACATACCTTAACTCTAAGCCAAACCCTAACAAATGCTCTAACATGTACCCTACTGGTTAACACAGGCCCTAACCATTATCATGTACTGTAAAGCTTACATATACCCTAACAAGTACCCTAAACTTATCCCAACATACTTCCTAACATGTTGCCTAACCCAAACCATAACTGTAACCTTAACACATACCCAAACACATACTGTAACACACACTCTAAACATTTACATGTATCCTAACAAGTACTCTAACATGTACTTCAAGTCATACATGTACCCTAGCATGTGCACAAAACATACCCTGTTTGCTAACATGTACTCTAAACACTAACTCATACCCTAACATGACCATAACACTTATTCAAAACCATGCAAATACCCTTAAATACACTCAAACTTGTACCTTAAAGTAACCCAATGTACACCCTAATATGTGCCCTGACTTTAACATGTCTTTGAACCCTAACAGATTTCCCAATAGTACTCTAACACATTAAACATACTCTAGACACGCATATAATAACAAATACCCTAACACATATTCTATAAAGCGTACAGGTAACCTTACATGTACCCTGAATGTACCCTAACATACTCTAACTCTGACCTTTACATATACCCCAAGTACCTTGACACATATTTAAAAAATTAATGTACCCTAACATGTGACTCAACCATATCCTAACATGTACCTTCACCCTAACGAATCCCCTGTGAAGTATGCTAACTCTAATACATACCCTAATATGTGCCCTAACTAACACACACTCTAGCATGTACCGTAACCCTAACAAATCCCCTATCAAGTACCCTAACTCTAACACATACCCTAACATGGACTCAAACACATACCCAATATGTGCCATTACTTTCACATGTATGTTAAACCTAACAGATTCCCAATATACTGTAATACAATAAACATGCTCTGGACACGAACCCATATGGTAACAAGTACCCATTCACATACTCTATAAATTGTACCTGTACCCTGAATGTACCCTAACAAACTACAACTTCACATTTACCCTAAACGTAGCACATACCCTAATAAATACTCTAAATTCTAATACATTGTCCAAACCATCCAGGTAACCGTCTTATGTGTATCCCAAATGTGTAACCTGTCACATACATGTACCCTAACCTATACCCCATCACACACCCTAATATGTACCCTGACTGACATCCATACACCACTCACTTCTCCTTTGCCACACCCCTCCTGTGCTCTGCCTCCCCACAAGCCCCGCCTCTGGACTCATTGTTGCCCCACCCCTATCATTCTCTGCCCCTACACAAGCCCCGCCCCTGGACCCCTCACTTCCATGCTCTGCTCCTCCCACAAGACTAGAGGGTGCAGTCTGCACTGATTCCCACCAGAGGGCGCTCTGGGTGTGTGCACGGTCCTTCTCAGGACCAGGGGCTGCAGTGGATAAAGTAGAGTGAAGTGTTGAGCTTTAACGCTTTCTTAATTGATGGCTGCTTTTAAGAATGATTCCCACCAGAGGGCGCTCTGGGTGTGTGCACTGTTCTTCTCAGGACCAGAGAGTGCAATGAACACTGATACCCACCAGAGGGCGCTCTGGGTATGTACACTGTCCTTCTCAGGACCAGAGGGGGCAGTGAGCACTGATTCTGACCAGAGGGCGCTCTAGGTGTGCACACTGTGCTCCTCTTGTCCTGGCCAGGTATGCAGTGTTCACTAATTCCCACCTGATGGTGCTCTAGGTGTGTGTACTGTCCTCCTCAGGACCCCAGATCCTCCCACAAGCCCACCCCTGCACCGCTCACTTCTTGCTCTGCTCCGCCCACAAAACCAGAGGATGCAGTGAGCACTGATTCCCACAAGAGGGTGCTCTAGGCTTGCACACTGTCCTCCTCTCCTCAGCACCTAGGGTGCGGTGATAGCTGATTCCCACCGGAGGGCGCGCTAGACAGGTGAGCACCTTGCTCCTCTTCTCAAGACCAGGGGTGCAATGAGGGCCGTTTCTCACCAGAGGGTGCCCTAGTCATGCTCACCGTCCTCCTTTCCTCAAGACCAAGGGGTGCGGTGACCACTGATTGCCACCAGATGGTTGTCTAGCTGTGTACATGATCCTCCTCTTCTCAGGTCCAGGGGATGCAGTGACCAATGTTTCCCACCACATGGTGCTCTAGGCCTGCACATGATCTTCCTCATCTCAGGACCAGAGAGGTGCAGTGACCACTGCTTCCCACCAGATGGTGCTCCAGGTATGCACACTGTCCTCAAGACCCTTGGCGTCCCACCAGCCCCGCCCCTGGACCGCTCACTTCCTGCTCCTGCCCCACCCCTGCAGTGCTCCACTCCTCCTCCTAGCCTGTAGCTGCAGCTACTTCTGCCCAGGACCCTGGAAAACTTGAAGCCCTGATGAAGTGTCCCAAAGCCTCAGTGCCAGAGACAGACCAGCCTCTGTTTGGTCCTGCTGCAAACTGTAGTGTCCCAACCCCAGAGCAGTCTTGTCCCAGTGTTACGGGAAAAAAAGTCCACTGTTCAGACAGCCTCACTTAAAAAGATGACTTTCTTGGGGAAGTGGAGAGCTAACCGGCCAGGGACACAGCACAGACTCGGGAGCTGAAACTGCGACCCCGAACAACCCACAAGCTAGGGTTTTTAAAGGCAACATCCACGCCTGGCCACGCACAGGTGGCCAACGGGATTGGAACACCACATAAGGGTTGCATGTTTATGTCCGTGGCTGGTGGGTTACAGTCCGACTCCTAGGAACTGTTTGAACTAACCTATCATTCTGGCTTGCATTGGCGGGCAAATTTGGGGTCCCCACACAAAGCAAGTGGATATTCTTACTCTTGGGGTTTGTATATTCTGGAAACATGATGTTATAGGCCCTGCATCCTTGAAGCTGGGGGCTGTTACAAAGACAGCTACGGGAGCTTTATTACAGAGATAGCTACAGGAGGATGCACAATGTGCACACCGAGGCATCGACTCCCTTGAAGCAGGAGGCAATCGATCACGGGGTGGAATGCACAACGTTGCACGGCAGGCACCGTTCTAATTGGGCAGGGTATGACATAGGGGGGAATTCCATGTGAAATAGGTTTTAAGGTCTCCCTTCGTGGCCTCTCTTTGTTTTTAGTAAAGGGTCAGCTTCTCGGCTTAGTTTTCCTCACACAGTCTGGGACCTTAACAGTCTAGGAGACCCTTTGCCCTACACCAGCTCTCAGTGAATTCTGTGTCAGCTCAAGCCAGCAGTCAGGGCCAGCAGTGATCTGCTGGGTGCCAGGAAGGAGATGGGGCTCCAGAGGAGCCCCATCAATAGGGAGGTAAAATATGGAGGTAGTGGCTGCCAGCAGAGGCAGGAACATTGTAATGGGTTGTGTTCCCAAAGTTCATATATGGATGCTCTCATCACCCAATACCTGGGAATGTGACCTTACATGGAAATGGGCTTTTGGCAGGAGATCAACTCCAGTTCCTGTTGTTATTGTGCCCCTAAAAGGGGGAAATCGGGTCCCAGAAATGCACCCAGGGATGATCCTCTGCAGAGACGTCACTCTGCTCTCACAGGCTCAGAAGCTGAGAGAAGACCTAGAACTCACAGTGCCTTGTACCTCCTGAGGGAATGTGGCCCAGAAGACACTTATTCCATGCTGCTAAACTTCAGAGCTATGAACACAGATCTCTAAACAACCCAGTCTGCAGTGGTGTGTCATAGCAACCCTAGAAACTTATGTATTTTTAAATCCTTTATAGTATAAATCAGTTATAGCTAATCATTATCATCTAGTTAAGTATCATTTAAGACAGAGAGGATGTTAACACTAAAATCCAGTCCTCACATATCCCCATAAAAGCATTTTACATTTTGTGGAACTTTTCAATGTGCACTGCAATGTACTAGAGGTTAATAGATCAGGGGCTGGGAAGGTGGCTCAGTGGTAGAGCGCTTGCCTTGCATGCCTGAGGCCCTGGGTTCGATTCCCCAGCACCACATAAGCAAAAAGCCGGAAGTGGCGCTGTGGCTCAAGTAGTAGAGCGCTAGGCTTGAGCTGAAGAGCTGAGGGACAGCGCCCAGGCCCAGAGTTCAGGCCCCATGACCAGACCAATATATATATATATATGTTTCAGGTCCTAGTTGTTACTGTAATACATCCATGGTATTCATTTCATTTTGTGTTTTATTTGAAGCAACTCCAAATCTGGGCTCTTACCATTTTCCCAGAATGGAGTCAGACAGAACCACTTCACCTGTGCGCTTTCTCAGCTTCAGGGTGCCGGGACTCATAGTCCATAGGACGTGGCCTCTGCATGACTTCGATGCCACAGGTCCTGAGGCCAGGAGGCCAGTGCACATACGCCTAGTATGCCCTCTGGTGGGAATCGGGACCCACTGCACCCCGAGTCCTGGTGAGAGGACAGAGTGCAAGCCTAGGGCGCCCTCTGGTGGGCATCAGATGAGGACAGTGCACAGGCCTAGAGCGCCCTCTGGTGGGCATGTGCTCACTCCACCCCGGGCCCTGACAAGGACAGTGGACAGACCTTGGGCGCCTACTGGTGGGCATCAGTGCTCACTGCACCCCGGGTCCTAATGAGGACAGTGCACAGGCCTAGAGCGCCCTCTGGTGGGCATTAGTGCTTACTGCACCCCGGGTCCTGATGAGAACAGTACACATGCCTAGGGCTCCCTCTGGTGGGCATTAGTGTTCATCGCACCCTGGGTCCTGATGAGGACAGTGCACATGCCTAGAGCGCCCTCTAGCGGGCATTAGTGTTCACAGCACCCTGGGCCCTGATGAGGACAGTGAACACTTAGAGCGCCCTCTGGTGGGCTTCACTGCTCACCGGACCCCGAGTCCCGATTAGAGGACAGTGCACATGCGCCTAGTATGCCCTCTGGTGGGACTCGGGACCCACTGCACCCCGAGTCCTGATGAGAGGACAGTGTGCAAGCCTAGGGCGCCCTCTGGTGGGCATCAGTGCTCACTGCACCCCAGGGTCCTGATGAGGACAGCGCACAGGCCCAGAGCGCCCTCTGCTGGGCATTAGTGTTCACCGCAGCCCGGGTCCCGAGGAGCACAACTTCTTGAAAAGATCCAGTGGCCTTTGCTTTCACAGCTATATATTTATAGCACAAGTCGTTAGCAGCATATGTGTTTAATTACCCCATTAAGCTGCACACTACACTCCTTTTGAAAGAAATAACTTTATTTACTTATTGTGCCTCATTCACAAGAGTTATGGTTTGGATAAGAATTTCCTACACAGGCTCCTGTGTTGAATGATTACTCTCCAGGTGTGGGACATTTTCAAGGGCTCTGGAAACTTAGGGAGATGGGGGCCTAGCTGAAATAGTTCATGGGCACTACTGGGCCTTGAACGTGGGGCTTAGGTGCAGTCCATCCCTGAGCTTTTTCACCCGAGCCGGCACATTAGCACTTGAGCAATGGCTCCACTTCCAGCTTTTGTTTCAGTTGTCAATGGAAGGTAAGTCTCAAGGCTTTTTCTGCCCTATCTGGATTTGAACTCTCAAAGCCTCCTGAGTAGCTAGAATTTCAAGCATGAGCCACAGATGCCCTGCACAAGCCTCAACTCTCAAAAGATTCTGCCCCACAACATTGCTAGACAAGGGACCAGGCCTCTGTCACAGGACCTTTGGAGACAAACCACATCCAAACCACACCAGTAACCATTCATGGTTATAACTTAAGACTTAAATTATTACAGTTTTTATGTTTTTCCTCATTGTAGAATCTCCTAGAACACTCAGCAGATCCAATGACAGGAAAAGAAATGAATTTGTCAGTCTCTGAAGGTTTAGAGTATATCCATTAACCTCTAATCTTCATGTAAACCAGAAGATATGCAGTTTCCTGCCTATAAAGAGAAATTTATCAGCATAGCAAAATTAAACATTTACAATGAAAGGCTATATGTATTTTTGGGTGGGTTGTGGGACTTGAACTCTGGGCCTGGGCACTGTCCCAGCTCAAAGCGAGGGCTCTACCACTTGAGCCATAAAGCCACTTCTAGTTTTCTGTAGCCAGTTACTTGGAGATAAGAGTCACAAACATTTTCCTGCCCAGGCTGGCTTTGAACCGCAATCCTCAGATCTCAGCCTCCTCAGGAGATAGGATGACAGGAGTGAGCTACCAGTGCCTAGTTGAGGGGATATATTATTGATTCACAATAGGACCAAATTTCCAGGATAATGAAGCAAACCTTCATCTACCTAACCTGTCCGTCTCATCAAAGGGAAAGAAAATAGTGACTTGGGAAACTAACCTGCAAGTTCTTATTAGCTAACATACAAATCATGGACAGCATGGTGCTAACGGCTCATGCCTGTGATCCTAGCTACTCAGGAGGCTGAGATCTGAGGGTCATGGTTCAAAGGCAGCCTGGACAGAAAAGTCTGTGAGACTCTTATCTCCAATAAACTACTCAGAAAAAGCTGGAAGTAGCACTGTGGTTCGAGTGGTACAGCATTAATCTTGAATACAAAGAGGCTCAGGGATAGCACCCAGGCCCTGAGTTCAAACCCAGGACTAAAAGGAAGAAAGAAAGAAAGAAAGAAAGAAAGAAAGAAAGAAAGAAAGAAAGAAAGAAAGAAAGAAAGAAAGAAAGAAAGAAAGAAAGAAAGAAAGAAAGAAAGAAAGAAAGAAAGAATGGAAGGAAGGAAGGAAGGAAGGAAGGAAGGAAGGAAGGAAGGAAGGAAGGAAGGAAGGAAGGAAAAGAAGGAAGGAAGAAAGCAAGCAAGGAAGGAAGCAAGGAAGGAAGGAGGAAAGGACCAGGGACAGACATGTTATGGGACTATAAGCCAACTCCAACCCTGTTTTTTGTAAATAAACTTAATTGGAACATGGCCACTTACATTCATTCATTCACGTGCTGTCTGTGGCACCCTGCATGTTGCAAGGGCAAAGCTGAGTAACAGCTACAGAAGCTATGCTCCAAAACCCTAAGTACTTTCTCTCTAACTTGTACAGAGAAAGTTTGCTAACCCCTATTCTAAATCACAGGGGAATGAATAACCAAAAATTGGCTAAGAACAGGCACCTAAGAGAAATTTTGAGAATAAATAAAAGGAAAACATAAAAAGTAGGTAAAAGGAAGATATCAAACATAAACTCCACCTAATCCATTAATTATGAAATCAAACCTCTGATGTAGCTGAATATCACCTGGTACAAACACCATCACCCCCAATACCACCTCCAGTACCTACACTGTCACCCCCATACCACCTCCACTACCTACACTGTCACCTCAATACCACCTCCACTACCTACACTGTCACCTCAATACCACCTCCACTACCTACACTGTCACCCCCATACCACATCCACTACCTACACTGTCACCCCCATACCACCTCCAGTACCTACACTGTCACCCCCAATACCACCTCCAGTACCTACACTGTCAGTTCCATTTCCACCTCCAGTACATATAAAAATCTCTGCCTTAACTTTATCCAGCTTTTCTCTCTAGGTTAATTACTACGTCAGTATCATGTCCTGATGCTTACTGAGAAAGAGAAGAGTGGTCCTGGCCCCTGCTCTTCTGGGCACCACTGGCTCACACTTGTAACCCTTGTTATTCAGGAGGCTTAGATCAGAGAATTCAGGTTCAAAGCCAGCAGAGCAGAAAAGTCTTTGATACTCTTATCTCAAATTAACCACACAAAAGCAGGCCGTGGAGTTGTGGTTCATGTGGTAGAGCACTAGCCTTGAGTGCAAAAGCTCAATGCCTAGGCCTAGACTTCAAACCCAAGAACCAGCACCAAAAAAAAAAAAAAAGAGCACATGGTCTGGTGTGAGGGGAAAAGTCGCAAAATCAAAAAACATTTTGAAGTGAAATAAAGGAGGCCTGCTCAAAAAGCAACGAAAGCAAATAAGATAGCCCTGCCTTTGGAGCTCCAGCGGTGCAATCGGTTAGCGCGGTACTGATAAGATAGCCCCGCCAATCCGCTGGGGCCCATCAGTAAAGGCTTTGCCCAGTAGGAAAGACCGTGATTATCAAAACACCACTAGGCACTTGCTCAGAAGATAAATTAGGACAGGGTCATAGAGACCAGAAAATACAGGTACACAGTTACAGAAGATGATGGACATGGTATTGGGACTTATGCCAGTGCTTTACTTAAGTCTAAATTCTGAGGGAAGTGTGGTGCCAGGGATGACTGCTGAAAGATGAGGCTGAATGGTAGTCAGTGGGGACTCTCGGATAAAGGCAATAGTTCATCCGTGCAGATTTCATAAAGCTCCAAGAACCCAGTGGACTCCATTCCCCCAAGTGCTTCTCTTACCAGCGGTAGTGATGATTTCCATAGGTACACTGGACGTCTTCCCAGGACACCTGGAAGAACATCACAGACATCAGCAGCTGGTTGGCAGCTGCTATTACGTGTGGACAGAACAGGGGACACTGTAATGTGCCCTGTTAGACTCCTGCAGAGAATGGAGAAGCCCGCCCTGGCGACCACACAGCATCAGAGCATCTGGTGACACAACGCCGTGCATCCTGAGACCCTCTGTGATGTCCCCACTCACCTTGAAATGCTTACACCTATCCCAAAGTTTTACACCTTGCATCTTTAACGTCTCGCTCCACAGACGTTTCCTACAAAGCATAAACCTTCAAGGTACGGGGCTAAGAGCACCAGAAACCTAACACTGACACAAACAGATGCTTAGAAAGCAATAAACCATGGCTGGGAAGGTGGCTCAGTGGTAGAGTGCTCGCCTAGCATGCATGAAGCCCTGGGTTCCATTCCTCAGTACCACATACACAGAAAAAGCCGGAAGTGGCGCTGTGGCCCATGTGGTAGGTAGAGCACTCTCCTTGAACACAAAGAGGCTGGGGAACAGCACCCAGACCCTGAGTCTAAGCCCCAAGACAAGCAAGAAAATAAATAAATAAAGCAATAAACCTAGAGAATGGCTTTGAACCACAAAACTCCCCAGCTCCTACACACAAACTACAAGACCATAATGCGTCTTCAACTCTGAGCTGAGAATTCAGAGAAGGAGGAAAGTTTAGATGATGGTTCTCACCCAACAAACATTGGAGTCATTGAAGCAGAGCCATCTTCCATCCGCTGGATTCCGAATGTAGGCACAGTAATGACCGAAGTCTGCCATGCCTACGTGGGCTATCACAGCGAAGAGTTCATACTGTGCTTCACGCTGGAAGAGGACAAGGCTGTAAGCGACCCATCCCTCCTTTCCCAGCCCTGGTCTTTAATGAGGAAGCATATTTGCCAGGCACTTGTTTACTGCCTGCTCTAGGCCCGGCACTGACACTTCCAAGGAGCTCGAAGAAAAGACCTTGACCTGCAGAATCTCACAGCTAGTTGAAGAGAAGCATCACAAACCAGAACTGTGATGCCTGTGTTATATCAGACGCACGACCAGTAAGTGGGGGATGATCAATATTTGCCAAGTGGGAACTCTGAGGAGGTCTCTGTTAACCGTGCAGAAGGGTTTTTTAACATTGGCACACAAGTTATCGGAAGGGAATTTGGTTTGGTTTGGTTTGGGGGGAAAGGGTTTGTGAACTTTTTGTTTCACCTTGGTTTCTTCTTTGTTTTTGTTGGTTTGTTTTGGAAGTTGCGGTTTGAACCCAGGGCCTCCTGCGTGCCAGGCAGGAGCCTTACCATTGAATCACGCCCCTAGCTCTGTTTTGTGCTGTTTTGTCCTTCCCCAGGCAAACGTCTGGAACATGATTTCCCCCGCTTCAGGCTTCCTATGATTAATGGGCTGATAGACACATGCCACCATCTGAACAGAAGACATAGTCTGAAAGTCTTCAGTTTGAGGTTAATGAAACTGTGAGAAATATGAGGTGACATTCAAAAAGGTGAGGAGAAGAAATGGAACTAGAATATCCACAAAACGGTGATAGAAAAGAACCCGAAAACGGACAGTGAAATGGCAGGACAAAAACCTTACAAAGACAGTAGGACACGAAGAGGAATGTTACAGACGCAAAGTCTCTACTACATGTGTCCATGAAGTGTTCCACTCCCACAAAATCTTAGACAACTGTTTAAAAGAAAAGGGAACATTAGTAGTGAGAGTTTGGGCTGACTTTTTTGTTAGTCAAGAGTATTTCTTTCTTTCAAAAAAAAAACCTTAGCAGCAGAAACCCAACAGTGGTTATTAGGGGTTGTAATGAAAGATGCTGATCAAAGCCCACAAACTTCCAGTTAGACGGGAAAATGGGTTTCAGAACCATGTCATACAGTATCGTCATTATAATGTGTTCCACACCGGAAAATGCTTTTAAAGAATTTTTACATACGCTCACCACAAAGACACAGGTAAAGTGATAAGTATGTTGTCTAGCTTGAGCTAATCTTTCCAAAATTTGAGGATGGGTGCGGTTGCACACCTATAATCCAGGTTCTCCAGAGGGGGGGATCAGAAAGGCTGTGGACAAAGTCAGCCTGGCCAGAAAGCTAGTGAGACTCCGATCCCAACAGACAAGCCAGACACAAGTGCACAGCCGGAAGCCTGTCCCTGGGAGAGGCAGAGGTAGAAGAGCAGTCCAAGGTCAGGCCTGGACAAAAACAAACCACTGCCTGATAACAGAACTCAAGCAAAAAGGCCCAGCGGCTTGGCTCAGATGGTGAATGGCGATGTGCTTGCTACAGGCCCAGCGTGACACATTAGTCAGTGCCAAGACTACAAGACACCATTCCTCCGGCATGCGTACATCACAGCACCACACTGAAATCCCTACACACAAATACTTTCCATGTGTCAACATTGGAAATAAGGCAGGTTTGTTCTGAGTCTTTAAAGAAACTAACACTAGGAACAGCAAAGGCTTGTGGTGACATTGTTATAATGATGAACCCAGCACGGACCCCGGGGGACCACATGGTCATTAAAATCAATAATGCTTAGAAAAAAACAAAAACAGCCTTTCTTTTATTTGTGAGGCAGGGTCTTAACTGTGTAGCTCACACTGGCCTTAAACCAATGCCCCTCTGGTCTACGTCTCCCGGCCGCAAAGAAGATAGGCACGTGCCAACATACTGGCTGAAAAATAAATAAATAAATTGAATTTAAAATGTTTTTAAGCCCTCTGCCTTGAATATGCCTTTGCCTCTGTGACTCGCAGCAACCTGAGGCCAGCCTGTCCTCGGTGCGGGCCCCGCCTAGCCCGCAGAGGGCACACTTCCTCAGACAGAGCAGTGCTCAGAGGCTGAGCTCACCACGCCTGGCTCCCCACCCGGGGGCGCTGCGCACCCAGCACAGGGCTGCTTCGAGCCCTCACACTGTGGATGTGAGCTGAAGACCAAATCGCTAACCCGGGCCTGGGGAGCCTGAATCAGGGGATTCACCAGTCGGTGCCATCTAGCAGTCGAGGGGTAAGAGCGCTGAACCTGGAGGACGCCGCGTCTGGTAGGATCGATCCAGAACACCTCACCTGCTCTGCGTCCTCAGTGAAGTCTTGATGCTCAGCCAGAAGAACCTGACTGAGATCCAAGCGCTGAGGGAAGTGCAGCAAGTGGCAGACTTTCTCCGTCTGTGAGTTCCGAATGGAGAATCGCATCAGGTGAAGGGTCAGGGTTTGGGGCAGATGCGTCATCCTCAAGACCTGCAAAAGCAAAACTCACTGTGAGACGGGGCCCCGAGGCGCTTGCGGGAAGATCCTGAGACACGCCGGGCCTGGTGGCTCGTTCTCCTCCCCAGGGGGAGGGGTGCGGGGGACACACTGGGGAGCTGAAGGCTTCCATGGCAGAATCCATTCCTCTCCCCGGAGACTCAGGGGACGCTTGGCCGGCACAGCACTATGGACCTCAGACAAAAGCCGTGAGCTGCTCAGGGCTCCGCAGAGGTGCCTGGCCCTCAGAAACTAGGAGTCTGCTGTAGGGAGCGTCTCTAAAACCAAAGAGGAAACCCCACCGCCCCCACCCAGCCCCATGCCGTCACCTGCCACTCCTGGTGGAAGACTGTGGTCAAGAAGCGACATCCACAGCCCCGTCTATGAGAAGCCCGAGCGTCTGAACTAGCCTCACCCACATCCCACCCCATGCGCCATCAGGAAGGGCCCGGAAGTGTCTGGAAAGCCGTGGCCCAGCAACAGCCCGCCCCGGAGACGCATCTGAACCTGAGGGTGGGCACCTGGCTTCCACGCGTCTTCGTCCCGCAGGCCTCGCAGAACCACTTGCTCTTGCTGGCTAACTCCCTGGGGTGGAAAAAACAGCGCAGGGCCTCCTCCTGCCGGCGGAGGCCGCAGGGAAAGGCCGCGTCAGCAGACCCTTTCCATGGGCACGCGGCCACCCCACAGGTGAGGGCTGAGCTCCACTGCAGGTTCCCCCACTGTTCCCCAAGCACCCCACTACCAGCACTACATCTGTCAGGATCTTCCACCCACTGGAGGAGAAAACACAAGGAGCCCTGGTTAATACGAGGGTGAGAAAATGAGAAACAGGATAGAACTGCTGCTGCTCAAAGAAATTGGCCACCTAGAGCCATGCAAGTGAAACAGAGTTGTTAGTGTCCGCAGGTGGAAGGACACAGGGAACTGGCATGGCAGGGGGAACTGGCATGGTGGGGGGAACTGGCATGGCGGGGCAACCCTTTCTCACCCAGTCTCTCACCAGTGTTTGCAGAGGCTTTGCGTCCACGTCATAGAGAGGGAGGGAGAGGGTCAGCATACTGCTGTTCCTACTGCTCTCTCTGGTACAGAGGAGGCAAACCAGGGACTCCTTCACCCGGATCGTGTACAGGGCCTGCAGCCTCTCTACCTGCAAGAAGGCGCCAAGGACCGGTGAGGCTACGGCCAGAGTTGGACCTGTTGGACTGACGAGCCCTGACGCTCCCGGCAGGTACCGGGAAGGACACCAGGAACCGTGGCAAGCGGTCTCCACGGATCCCTTACTACAAATGCACAATGGTGAGCGACCTCTACAGGTCCTGGGATTCCAGCTTCAGCTCTTACCAAGTCCACATCATCTATTTGATCCTTAAGAAGGTTCCAGAACGTGAGGTAGAGCTGAGCAGCATCGTGCTGGACAAACCCTGGTTAAAAAAAAGTAACAGCAAATCAGTGCGGTCGCTGGAGAAGTCCCATGTCCTCACGACCCCTAGCTACGTGAACACTCACCACCTTGCCTTTGACTCTCCCAACTCCCAAAAGAGGTCAGGAGGTACCACATGTCAGGCGCTCAGGAAGGGAGAAGCATTCTTGGTGGTGGATTTGACAGCGCCTCTTAAACTTAAGCCTCGGGAAGGGAACAAGGCTGTGCTCTACGCACTCTGAAGGGTATGGCACACCGGCAGCCTCAGTGGAGGGGCAAAGGCTTGCCACAGAAAAGCCAGAGCAGGAGCTGAACTCCCTGAGCGGCGCAGAGAAGTGGGCACATGCTGCCGGGCCGGCCGGGGGCTGCCGGGCATGCCCCTCCTGGCCCCACTGGATTCCGTAGAACAGACCAGCTCCAGGGACTCTCCAGAGCACAGGAGCGGCGCCTCCTCGCTCCATCCGCTGCTCTGTTCCCAGCTTGCACCTGGCCAAGCCAGAACTCTGAAGGGAGGCGCAGACCACCAGACGGAGCGCCAGACGGCATTCCTTCTCAGCAATGATAGAAAAACGACTCTTTTTTTGCTTTACTTTTTTTTTTTTTTATTTATTTTTGGGTCCGGTTGTGGGGCCTGAACTCAGGGCCTGGGTGCTGTCCCTCAGCTCTTCAGCTCAAGGCTAGCGCTCTACCACTTGAGCCACAGCGCCACTTCCGGATTTTTTTCTTTTTGCTTATGTGGTGCTGAGGATCAAACCCAGGGCCTCAGGCATGCAAGGCAAGCGCTCTACCACTGAGCCACCTTCCCAGCCCCGTTTTGCTTTACTTTTTTTATATACTGGTCCTGGGGTTTGAACTCAGGGCTGGGCGCTGTCCCTGAGCTTTTTTTCCTCAAGGCTTGTGCTCTACCACTTGAGCTACGGTTGAACTTTCAGCTTCTTTTGTTTTTGGTTAATTGGAGATAACAGTCTGGTGGGCTTTCTTACCCAGGCTGGTTTCCAACTGTGATCCTCACATCTCGGCCTTCACAGTACCTAGCGTGAGCCACAGGTCCCTAGTTTTTGTGTTGTTTTTTTTTAATGTGCTACCAGTTATCGCTTTTGTAAATTGCCATTTCTTTCTCTGTAGTTCTTCTTTTCACTCTCCCCGTCTTAGACTTACAGAGCATTGTACTCTAGGTTTATTCTACCTTCTTCCTTCCCTTCTTTTTTCATCCCTAGCTTTTCTGTCACCTTGCAATTTTTTTTTTGGGGGGGGGGTCCGGTCGTGGGGCCTGAACTCCGGGCCTGGGCACTGTCCCTCAGCTCTTCAGCTCAAGGCTAGCGCTCTACCACTTGAGCCACAGCGCCACTTCTGGCTTTTTTCTTTTTGCTTCTGTGATGCTGAGGAATCGAACCCAGGGCCTCAGGCATGCAAGGCAAGCGCTGTACCACTGAGCCTCCATATCCATACCATATCCATAACCCCAACCCATCCCACAGAGTTCTTCTTCACACATTCCCTAACCCTAAACCTTTCCTGAATCCTTACTCTAACATTTCCTTAAGTGCATCCACAACATCACCCTTTGTCTACCATATTCCCTACACCCTTTCCTGACCTTAACCCTGACCTATTCCCATAATCCAAATGCTAGCACCCTAACCTCACCAGATGGATAACCTTAACCTATAATCCTAACACTGACAATGACCCTGACTCTGACCCTAACCCACAACCCTAACCCATACCCTAGCACATGCTCCAACATGTACCCTATCAGTTATCCTAACACATACCTTTACTCTAAAACCCTAAACTGTACCACATACCCTAATAAGTACCCTAACAAATATAGTAAACAGTGTCACATTCTATCAAGTACCCTAACAAGTACTGTAACCATACAGGCACATTTACGTACACCCTATATCATCTACCTCAAATTCACCTTACCGCATACCCAAACACGTGCCCTTAATTAACCCAAACCATAACCCTAATATACACTATAGCGTATACCTTAACCCTAACACATACCCTAACTCTAACACGAACCCTGACATATACCATAAACTTCATTCTAACTCAAACACATGCCATAACATACACTCTAAACGCTAAAATGTGTGGTAACAACGACTTACATGCACTCTAATACATTCAGGTACTTTAAAGGTAAACTAGCATGTACCCCAAACATACCCAATACATACCTTAACCCTAAGCCAAACCCTAACAAATGCTCTAACATGTACCCTACTGGTTAACACAGACCCTAACCATTATCATGTACTGTAAAGCTTACATATACCCTAACAAGTACCCTAAACTTATCCCAACATACTTCCTAACACGTTGCCTAACCCAAACCATAACTGTAACCTTAACACATACCCAAACACATACTGTAACACACACTCTAAACATTTACATGTATCCTAACAAGTACTCTAACATGTACTTCAAGTCATACATGTACCCTAGCATGTGCACAAAACATACCCTGTTTGCTAACATGTACTCTAAACACTAACTCATACCCTAACATGACCCTAACACTTATTCAAAACCATGCAAATACCCTTAAATACACTCAAACTTGTACCTTAAAGTAACCCAATGTACACCCTAATATGTGCCCTGACTTTAACATGTCTTTGAACCCTAACAGATTTCCCAATAGTACTCTAACACATTAAACATACTCTAGACACGCATATAATAACAAATACCCTAACACATATTCTATAAAGCGTACAGGTAACCTTACATGTACCCTGAATGTACCCTAACATACTCTAACTCTGACCTTTACATATACCCCAAGTACCTTGACACATATTTAAAACATTAATGTACCCTAACATGTGACTCAACCATATCCTAACATGTACCTTCACCCTAACGAATCCCCTGTGAAGTATGCTAACTCTAATACATACCCTAATATGTGCCCTAACTAACACACACTCTAGCATGAACCGTAACCCTAACAAATCCCCTATCAAGTACCCTAACTCTAACACATACCCTAACATGGACTCAAACACATACCCAATATGTGCCATTACTTTCACATGTATGTTAAACCTAACAGATTCCCAATATACTGTAATACAATAAACATGCTCTGGACACGAACCCATATGGTAACAAGTACCCATTCACATACTCTCTAAATTGTACCTGTACCCTGAATGTACCCTAACAAACTACAACTTCACATTTACCCTAAACGTAGCACATACCCTAATAAATACTCTAAATTCTAATACATTGTCCAAACCATCCAGGTAACTGTCTTATGTGTATCCCAAATGTGTAACCTGTCACATGCATGTACCCTAACCTATACCCCATCACACACCCTAATATGTACCCTGACTGACATCCATACACCACTCACTTCTCCTTTGCCACACCCCTCCTGTGCTCTGCCTCCCCACAAGCCCCGCCTCTGGACTCATTGTTGCCCCACCCCTATCATTCTCTGCCCCTACACAAGCCCCGCCCCTGGACCCCTCACTTCCATGCTCTGCTCCTCCCACAAGACTAGAGGGTGCAGTCTGCACTGATTCCCACCAGAGGGCGCTCTGGGTGTGTGCACGGTCCTTCTCAGGACCAGGGGCTGCAGTGGATAAAGTAGAGTGAAGTGTTGAGCTTTAACGCTTTCTTAATTGATGGCTGCTTTTAAGAATGATTCCCACCAGAGGGCGCTCTGGGTGTGTGCACTGTTCTTCTCAGGACCAGAGAGTGCCATGAACACTGATACCCACAAGAGGGCGCTCTGGGTATGTACACTGTCCTTCTCAGGACCAGAGGGGGCAGTGAGCACTGATTCTGACCAGAGGGCGCTCTAGGTGTGCACACTGTGCTCCTCTTGTCCTGGCCAGGTATGCAGTGTTCACTAATTCCCACCTGATGGTGCTCTAGGTGTGTGTACTGTCCTCCTCAGGACCCCAGATCCTCCCACAAGCCCACCCCTGCACTGCTCACTTCTTGCTCTGCTCCGCCCACAAAACCAGAGGATGCAGTGAGCACTGATTCCCACAAGAGGGTGCTCTAGGCTTGCACACTGTCCTCCTCTCCTCAGCACCTAGGGTGCGGTGATAGCTGATTCCCACCGGAGGGCGCGCTAGACAGGTGAGCACCTTGCTCCTCTTCTCAAGACCAGGGGTGCAATGAGGGCCGTTACTCACCAGAGGGTGCCCTAGTCATGCTCACCGTCCTCCTTTCCTCAAGACCAAGGGGTGCAGTGACCACTGATTGCCACCAGATGGTGGTCTAGCTGTGTACATGATCCTCCTCCTCTCAGATCCAGGGGATGCAGTGACCAATGTTTCCCACCAGATGGTGCTCTAGGCCTGCACATGATCTTCCTCATCTCAGGACCAGAGAGGTGCAGTGACCACTGCTTCCCACCAGATGGTGCTCCAGGTATGCACACTGTCCTCAAGACCCTTGGCGTCCCACCAGCCCGGCCCCTGGACCGCTCACTTCCTGCTCCTGCCCCACCCCTGCAGTGCTCCACTCCTCCTCCTAGCCTGTAGCTGCAGCTACTTCTGCCCAGGACCCTGGAAAACTTGAAGCCCTGATGAAGTGTCCCAAAGCCTCAGTGCCAGAGACAGACCAGCCTCTGTTTGGTCCTGCTGCAAACTGTAGTGTCCCAACCCCAGAGCAGTCTTGTCCCAGTGTTACGGGGGAAAAAGTCCACTGTTCAGACAGCCTCACTTAAAAAGATGACTTTCTTGGGGAAGTGGAGAGCTAACCGGCCAGGGACGCAGCACAGACTCGGGAGCTGAAACTGCGACCCCGAACAACCCACAAGCTAGGGTTTTTAAAGGCAACATCCACGCCTGGCCACGCACAGGTGGCCAACGGGATTGTAACAGCACATAAGGGTTGCATGTTTATGTCCGTGGCTGGTGGGTTACAGTCCGACTCCTAGGAACTGTTTGAACTAACCTATCATTCTGGCTTGCATTGGCGGGCAAATTTGGGGTCCCCACACAAAGCAAGTGGATATTCTTACTCTTGGGGTTTGTATATTCTGGAAACATGATGTTATAGGCCCTGCATCCTTGAAGCTGGGGGCTGTTACAAAGACAGCTACGGGAGCTTTATTACAGAGATAGCTACAGGAGGATGCACAATGTGCACACCGAGGCATCGACTCCCTTGAAGCAGGAGGCAATCGATCACGGGGTGGAATGCACAACGTTGCACGGCAGGCACCGTTCTAATTGGGCAGGGTATGACATAGGGGGAATTCCATGTGAAATACGTTTTAAGGTCTCCCTTCGTGGCCTCTCTTTGTTTTTAATAAAGGGTCAGCTTCTCGGCTTAGTTTTCCTCACACAGTCTGGGACCTTAACAGTCTAGGAGACCCTTTGCCCTACACCAGCTCTCAGTGAATTCTCAGTGTCAGCTCAAGCCAGCAGTCAGGGCCAGCAGTGATCTGCTGGGTGCCAGGAAGGAGATGGGGCTCCAGAGGAGCCCCATCAATAGGGAGGTAAAATATGGAGGTAGAGGCTGCCCAGCAGAGGCAGGTACATTGTAATGGGTTGTGTTCCCAAAGTTCATGTATACATGCTCTCATCACCCAATACCTGGGAATGTGACCTTATATGGAAGTAGGCTTTAGCAGGAGATCAACTCCAGTTCCTGTTGTTATTGTGTCCCTAAAAGGGGGAAATCGGGTCCCAGAAATGCACCCAGGGATGATCCTCTGCAGAGACGTCACTCTGCTCTCACAGGCTCAGAAGCTGAGAGAAGACCTAGAACTCACAGTGCCTTGTACCTCCTGAGGGAATGTGGCCCAGAAGACACATATTCCATGCTGCTAAACTTCACAGCTATGAACACAGATCTCTAAACAACCCAGTCTGCAGTGGTGTGTCAGAACAACCCTAGACCCTTATGTATGTTTAAATCCTTTATAGTATAAATCAGTTATAGCTAATCATTATCATCTAGTTAAGTATCATTTAAGACAGGGAGGATGTTAACACTAAAAACCAGTCCTCACATATCCCCATAAAAGCATTTTACATTTTGTGGAACTTTTCAATGTGCACTGCAATGTACTAGAGCTTAATAGATCAGGGGCTGGGAAGGTGGCTCAGTGGTAGAACGCTTGCCTTGCATGCCTGAGGCCCTGGGTTCGATTCCCCAGCACCACATAAGCAAAAAGCAAAAAGCCGGAAGTGGCGCTGTGGCTCAAGTGGTAGAGCACTAGCCTTGAGCCGAAGAGCTGAGGGATGGCGCCCAGGCCCAGAGTTCAGGCCCCACAAGGGGACCAATATATATATATATTTCTGGTCCTAGTTGTTACTGTAATACATCCATGGTATCCATTTCATTTTGTGTTTTATTTGAAGCAACTCTAAATCCGACTCTGATCATTTTCCCAGAATGGAGTCAGACAGAACCACTTCACCTGTGCGCTTTCTCAGCTTCAGGGTGCCGGGACTCATAGTCCATAGGACGTGGCCTCTGCATGTCTTCTATGCCACAGGTCCTGAGGCCAGGAGGCCAGTGCACATACGCCTAGTATGCCCTCTGGTGGGAATCGGGACCCACTGCACCCCGAGTCCTGATGAGAGGACAGTGTGCAAGCCTAGGGCGCCCTCTGGTGGGCATCAGTGCTCACCGCACCCCGGGTCCTGATGAGGACAGCGCACAGGCCCAGAGCGCCCTCTGCTGGGCATTAGTGTTCACCGCAGCCCGGGTCCCGAGGAGCGCAACTTCTTGAAAAGATCCAGTGGCCTTTGCTTTCACAGCTATATATTTATAGCACAATTCGTTAGCAGCATATGTGTTTAATTACCCCATTAAGCTGCACACTACACTCCTTTTGAAAGAAATAACTTTATTTACTTATTGTGCCTCATTCACAAGAGTTATGGTTTGGATAAGAATTTCCTACACAGGCTCCTGTGTTGAATGCTTACTCTCCAGGTGTGGTACATTTTCAAGGGCTCTGGAAACTTAGGGAGACGGGGGCCTAGCTGAAATAGTTCATGGGCACTACTGGGCCTTGAACGCGGGGCTTAGGTGCAGTCCATCCTTGAGCTTTTTCACTCGAGCCGGCACATTAGCACTTGAGCAATGGCTATACTTCCAGCTTTTGTTTCAGTTGTCAATGGAAGGTAAGTCTCAAGGCTTTTTCTGCCCTATCTGGATTTGAACTCTCAAAGCCTCCTGAGTAGCTAGAATTTCAAGCATAAGCCACAGATGCCCTGCACAAGCCTCAGCTCTCAAAAGATTCTGCCCCACAACATTGCTAGACAAGGGACCAGGTCTCTGTCACAGGACCTTTGGAGACAAACCACATCCAAACCACACCAGTAACCATTCATGGTTATAACTTAAGACTTAAATTATTACAGTTTTTATGTTTTTCCTCATTGTAGAATCTCCTAGAAGACTCAGCAGATCCAATGACAGGAAAAGAAATGAATTTGTCAGTCTCTGAAGGTTTAGAGTATATCCATTAACCTCTAATCTTCATGTAAACCAGAAGATATGCAGTTTCCTGCCTATAAAGAGAAATTTATCAGCATAGCAAAATGAAACATTTACAATGAAAGGCTGTATGTATTTTTGGGTGGGTTGTGGGACTTGAATTCTGGGCCTGGGCACTGTCCCAGCTCAAGGCGAGGGCTCTACCACTTGAGCCATAAAGCCACTTCTAGTTTTCTGTAGCCAGTTACTTAGAGATAAGAGTCACAAACATTTTCCTGCCCAGGCTGGCTTTGATCCGCAATCCTCAGATCTCAGCCTCCTCAGTAGCTAGGATGACAGGAGTGAGCTACCAGTGCCTAGTTGAGGGGATATATTATTGATTCACAATAGGACCAAATTTCCAGGATAATGAAGCAAACCTTCATCTACCTAACCTGTCCGTCTCATCAAAGGGAAAGAAAATAGTGACTTGGGAAACTAACCTGTAAGTTCTTATTAGCTAACATACAAATCATGGACAGCATGGTGCTAACGGCTCATGCCTGTGATCCTAGCTACTCAGGAGGCTGAGATCTGAGGGTCATGGTTCAAAGGCAGCCTGGACAGAAAAGTCTGTGAGACTCTTATCTCCAATAAAATACTCAGAAAAAGCTGGAAGTAGCACTGTGGTTCGAGTGGTACAGCATTAATCTTGAATACAAAGAGGCTCAGGGATAGCACCCAGGCCCTGAGTTCATACCCAGGACTAGAAGAAAGAAAGGAAGAAAGGAAGGAAGGAAGGAAGCAAGGAAGGAAGGAAAACAAGGAAGGAAGGAAGGAAGGAAGGAAGGAAGGAAGGAAGGAAGGAAGGAAGGAAGGAAGGAGGAAAGGACCAGGGACAGACATATTATGGGACTATAAGCCAACTCCAACCCTGTTTTTTGTAAATAAACTTAATTGGAACATGGCCACTTACATTCATTCATTCACGTGCTGTCTGTGGCACCCTGCATGTTGCAAGGGCAAAGCTGAGTAACAGCTACAATAGCTATGCTCCAAAACCCTAAGTACTTTCTCTCTAAGTTCTACAGAGAAAGTTTGCTAACCCCTATTCTAAATCACAGGGGAATGAATAACCAAAAATTGGCTAAGAACAGGCACCTAAGAGAAATGTTGAGAATAAATAAAAGGAAAATATGAAAAGTAGGTAAAAGGAAGATATCAAACATAAGCTCCACCTAATCCATTAATTATGAAATCAAACCTCTGATGTAGCTGAATATCACCTGGTATAAGCACCATCACCCCCAATACCACCTCCACTACCTACACTGTCACCCCCATACCACCTCCAGTACCTACACTGTCACCTCAATACCACCACCACTACCTACACTGTCACCCCAATACCACCTCCACTACCTACACTGTCACCCCCATACCACCTCCAGTACCTACACTGTCACCTCAATACCACCTCCACTACCTACACCGTCAGTTCCATTTCCACCTCCAGTACATATAAAAATCTCTGCCTTAACTTTATCCAGCTTTTCTCTCTAGGTTAATGACTACGTCAGTATCATGTCCTGATGCTTACTGAGAAAGAGAAGAGTGGTCCTGGCCCCTGCTCTTCTGGGCACCACTGGCTCACACTTGTAACCCTTGTTATTCAGGAGGCTTCGATCGGAGAATTCAGGTTCAAAGCCAGCAGAGCAGAAAAGTCTTTGATACTCTTATCTCAAATTAACCACACAAAAGCAGGCCGTGGAGTTGTGGTTCATGTGATCGAGCACTAGCCTTGAGTGAAAAAGCTCAATGCCTAGGACTAGACTTCAAACCCAAGAACCAGCACCAAAAAAAAAAAAAAAAAAAAGAGCACATGGTCTGGTGTGAGGGGAAAAGTCGCAAAATCAAAAAACATTTTGAAGTGTAATAAAGGAGGCCTGCTCAAAAAGCAACGAAAGCAAATAAGATAGCCCTGCCTTTGGAGCTCCAGCGGTGCAATCGGTTAGCACGGTACTGATAAGATAGCCCCGCCAATCCGCTGGGGCCCATCAGTAAAGGATTTGCCCAGTACAAAGACCGTGATTATCAAAACACCACTAGGCACTTGCTCAGAAGATAAATTAGGACAGGGTCATAGAGACCAGAAAATACAGGTACACAGTTACAGAAGATGATGGACATGGTATTGGGACTTATGCCAGTGCTTTACTTAAGTCTAAATTCTGAGGGAAGTGTGGTGCCATGGATGACTGCTAAAAGATGAGGCTGAATGGTAGTCAGTGGGGACTCTAGGATAAAGGCAATAGTTCATCCGTGCAGATTTCATAAAGCTCCAAGAACCCAGTGGACTCCATTCCCCCAAGTGCTTCTCTTACCAGCGGTAGTGATGATTTCCATAGGTACACTGGACGTCTTCCCAGGACACCTGGAAGAACATCACACACATCAGCAGCTGGTTGGCAGCTGCTATTACGTGTGGACAGAACAGGGGACACTGTAATGTGCCCTGTTAGACTCCTGCAGAGAATGGAGAAGCCCACCCTGGCGACCACACAGCATCAGAGCATCTGGTGACACAACGCCGTGCATCCTGAGACCCTCTGTGATGTCCCCACTCACCTTGAAATGCTTACACCTACCCCAGAGTTTTACACCTTGCATCTTTAACGTCTCGCTCCACAGACGTTTCCTACAAAGCATAAACCTTCAAGGTACGGGGCTAAGAGCACCAGAAACCTAACACTGACACAAACAGATGCTTAGAAAGCAATAAACCATGGCTGGGAAGGTGGCTCAGTGGTAGAGTGCTCGCCTAGCATGCATGAAGCCCTGGGTTCCATTCCTCAGTACCACATACACAGAAAAAGCCGGAAGTGGCGCTGTGGCCCAAGTGGTAGGTAGAGCACTCTCCTTGAACACAAAGAGGCTGGGGAACAGCACCCAGACCCTGAGTCTAAGCCCCAAGACAAGCAAGAAAATAAATAAATAAAGCAATAAACCTAGAGAATGGCTTTGAACCACAAAACTCCCCAGCTCCTACACACAAACTACAAGACCATAATGCGTCTTCAACTCTGAGCTGAGAATTTATTGAAGGTGGCTAATTCAGAGAAGGAGGAAAGTTTAGATGATGGTTCTCACCCAACAAACATTGGAGTCATTGAAGCAGAGCCATCTTCCATCCGCTGGATTCCGAATGTAGGCACAGTAATGACCGAAGTCTGCCATCCCTACGTGGGCTATCACAGCGAAGAGTTCATACTGTGCTTCACGCTGGAAGAGGACAAGGCTGTAAGCGACCCATCCCTCCTTTCCCAGCCCTGGTATGGTCTTTAATGAGGAAGCATATTTGCCAGGCACTTGTTTACTGCCTGCTCTAGGCCCGGCACTGACATTTCCAAGGAGCTCGAAGAAAAGACCTTGACCTGCAGAATCTCACAGCTAGTTGAAGAGAAGCATCACAAACCAGAACTGTGATGCCTGTGTTATATCAGACGCACGACCAGTAAGTGGGGGATGTTCAATTTTTGCCAAGTGGGAACTCTGAGGAGGTCTCTGTTAACAGTGCAGAAGGGTTTTTTAACATTGGCAGACAAGTTATCGGAAGGGAATTTGTTTTGGTTTGGTTTGGGGGGGGAGGGGTTGTGAACTTTTTGTTTCACCTTGGTTTCTTCTTTGTTTTTGTTGGTTTGTTTTGGAAGTTGCAGTTTGAACCCAGGGCCTCCTGCGTGCCAGGCAGGAGCCTTACCATTGAATCACGCCTCTAGCTCTGTTTTGTGCTGTTTTTTCCTTCCCCAGGCAAATGTCGGGAACATGATTTCCCCCGCTTCAGGCTTCCTATGATTAATGGGCTGATAGACAAATGCCACCATCTGAACAGAAGACATAGTCTGAAAGTCTTCAATTTGAGGTTAATGAAACTGTGAGAAATATGAGGTGACATTCAAAAAGGTGAGGAGAAGAAATGGAACTAGAATATCCACAAAACGGTGACAGAAAAGAACCCGAAAACGGACAGTGAAATGGCAGGACAGAAACCTTACAAAAACAGTAGGACACGAAGAGGAATGTTGCAGACGCAAAGTCTCTACTACATGTGTGCATGAAGTGTTCCTTCCACTCCCTCAAAATCTTAGAAAACTGTTTAAAAGAAAAGGGAACATTAGTAGTGAGAGTTTGGGCTGACTTTTTTGTTAGTCAAGAGTATTTCTTTCTTTCAAATAAAAACATAGCAGCAGAAACCCAACAGTGGTTATTAGGGGTTGTAATGAAAGATGGTGATCAAAGCGCACAAACTTCCAGTTAAACGGGAAGAATAGGTTTCAGAACAATGTCATACAGTATCGTAATTATAATGTGTTCCACACCGGAAAATGCTTTTAAAGAATTTTTACATACGCTCACCACAAAGACACAGGTGAAGTGATAAGTATGTTGTCTAGCTTGAGCTAATCTTTCCAAAATTTGAGGATGGGTGCGGTTGCACACCTATAATCCAGGTTCTCCAGATGGGGAGATCAGAAAGGCTGTGGACAAAGTCAGCCTGGCCAGAAAGCTAGTGAGACTCCGATCTCAACAGACAAGCCAGACACAAGTGCACACCCGGAAGCCTGTCCCTGGGAGAGGCAGAGGTAGAAGAGCAGCCCAAGGTCAGGCCTGGACAAAAACAAACCACTGCCTGATAACAGAACTCAAGCAAAAAGGCCCAGTGGCTTGGCTCAGATGGTGAATGGCGATGTGCTTGCTACAGGCCCAGCGTGACACATTAGTCAGTGCCAAGACCACAAGACACCATTCCTCCGGCATGCATACGTCACAGCACCACACTGAAATCCCTACACACAAATACTTTCCATGTGTCAACATTGGAAATAAGGCAGGTTTGTTCTGAGTCTTTAAAGAAACTAACACTAGGAACAGCAAAGGCTTGTGGTGACATTGTTATAATGATAACCCCAGCACGGACCCCGGGGGACCACATGGTCATTAAAATCAATAATGCTTAGAAAAAAACAAAAACAGCCTTTCTTTTATTTGTGAGGCAGGGTCTTAACTGTGTAGCTCACACTGGCCTTGAACCAATGCCCCTCTGGTCTACGTCTCCCGGCCGCAAAGAAGATAGGCACGTGCCAACATACTGGCTGAAAAATAAATAAATAAATTGAATTTAAAATGCTTTTAAGCCCTCTGCCTTGAATATGCCTTTGCTTCTGTGACTCGCAGCAACCTGAGGCCAGCCTGTCCTCGGTGCGGGCCCCGCCTAGCCCGCAGAGGGCACACTTCCTCAGACAGAGCAGTGCTCAGAGGCTGAGCTCACCACGCCTGGCTCCCCTCCCGGGGGCGCTGCGCACCCAGCACAGGGCTGCTCCGAGCCCTCACACTGTGGAGGTGAGCTGAAGACCAAATCGCTAACCCGGGCCTGGGGAGCCTGAACCAGGGGATTCACCAGTCGGTGCCATCTAGCAGTCGAGGGGTAAGAGCGCTGAACCTGGAGGACGCCGCGTCTGGTAGGATCGATCCAGAACACCTCACCTGCTCTGCGTCCTCAGTGAAGTCTTGATGCTCAGCCAGAAGAACCTGACTGAGATCCAAGCGCTGAGGGAAGTGCAGCAAGTGGCAGACTTTCTCCGTCTGTGAGTTCCGAATGGAGAATCGCATCAGGTGAAGGGTCAGGGTTTGGGGCAGATGCGTCATCCTCAAGACCTGCAAAAGCAAAACTCACTGTGAGACGGGGCCCCGAGGCGCTTGCGGGAAGATCCTGAGAAACGCCGGGCCTGGTGGCAGGTTCTCCTCCCCAGGGGGAGGGGTGCGGGGGACACACTGGGGAGCTGAAGGCTTCCATGGCAGAATCCATTCCTCTCCCCGGAGACTCAGGGGACGCTTGGCCGGCACAGCACTATGGACCTCAGACAAAAGCCGTGAGCTGCTCAGGGCTCCGCAGAGGTGCCTGGCCCTCAGAAACTAGGAGTCTGCTGTAGGGAGCATCTCTAAAACCAAAGAGGAAACCCCACCGCCCCCACCCAGCCCCATGCCGTCACCTGCCACTCCTGGTGGAAGACTGTGGTCAAGAAGCGACATCCACAGCCCCGTCTATGAGAAGCCCGAGGGTCTGAACTAGCCTCACCCACATCCCACCCCATCCGCCATCAGGAAGGGCCCGGAAGTGTCTGGGAAGCCTTGGCCCAGCAACAGCCCGCCCCGGAGACGCATCTGAACCTGAGGGTGGGCACCTGGCTTCCGCGCGTCTTCGTCCCGCAGGCCTCGCAGAACCACTTGCTCTTGCTGGCTAACTCCCTGGGGTGGAAAAAACAGCGCAGGGCCTCCTCCTGCCAGCGGAGGCCGCAGGGAAAGGCCGCGTCAGCAGACCCTTTCCATGGGCACGCGGCCACCCCACAGGGGAGGGCTGAGCTCCGCTGCAGGTTCCCCCACTGTCCCCCAAGCACCCCACTACCAGCGCTACATCTGTCAGGATCTTCCACCCACTGGAGGAGAAAACACAAGGAGCCCTGGTTAATACGAGGGTGAGAAAATTAGAAACAGGATAGAACTTCTGCTGCTGCTCAAAGAAATTGGCCACCTAGAGCCGTGCAAGTGAAACAGAGTTGTTAGTGTCCGCGGGTGGAAGGACACGGGGAACTGGCATGGCGGGGGAAACTGGCATGGCTGGGCGACCCTTTCTCACCCAGTCTCTCACCAGTGTTTTCAGAGGCTTTGCGTCCACGTCATAGAGAGGGAGGGAGAGGGTCAGCATACTGCTGTTCCTACTGCTCTCTCTGGTAGAGAGGAGGCAAACCAGGGACTCCTTCACCCGGATCGTGTACAGGGCCTGCAGCCTCTCTACCTGCAAGAAGGCGCCAAGGACGGGTGAGGCTATGGCCACAGTTGGACCTGTTGGACTGACGAGCCCTGACGCTCCCGGCAGGTACCGGGAAGGACACCAGGAACCGTGGCAAGCGGTCTCCACGGATCCCTTACTACAAATGCACAATGGTGAGCGACCTCTACAGGTCCTGGGATTCCAGCTTCAGCTCTTACCAAGTCCACATCATCTATTTGATCCTTAAGAAGGTTCCAGAACGTGAGGTAGAGCTGAGCAGCATCGTGCTGGACAAACACTGGTTAAAAAAAAGTAACAGCACATCAGTGCGTTCGCTGGAGAAGTCCCATGTCCTCACGACCCCTAGCTACGTGAACACTCACCACCTTGCCTTTGACTCTCCCAACTCCCAAAAGAGGTCAGGAGGTACCACATGGCAGGCGCTCAGGAAGGGAGAAGCATTCTTGGTGCTGGATTTGACAGAGCCTCTTAAACTTAAGCCTCGGGAAGGGAACAAGGCTCTGCTCTACGCACTCTGAAGGGTATGGTACACCGGCAGCCTCTGTGGAGGGGGAAAGGCTTGCCACAGAAAAGCCAGAGCAGGAGCTGAACTCCCTGAGCGGCGCAGAGAGGTGGGCACATGCTGCCGGGCCGGCCGGGGGCTGCCGGGCATGCCCCGCCTGGCCCCACTGGATTCCCTAGAACAGACCAGCTCCAGGGACTCTCCAGAGCACAGGAGCGGCGCCTCCTCGCTCCATCCGCTGCTCTGTTCCCAGCTTGCACCTGGCCAAGCCAGAACTCTGAAGGGAGGGGCAGACCACAAGATGGAGCGCCAGACGGCATTTCTTCTCAGCAAAGAAAGAAAAATTACTCCTTTTTTTTTTTGCTGTACTTTTTTTTTTATTTATTTATTTTTGGGTCTGGTTGTGGGGCCTGAACTCTGGGCCTGGGCGCTGTCCCTCAGCTCTTCAGCTCAAGGCTAGCGCTCTACCACTTGAGCCACAGCGCCACTTCCGGCTTTTTTTCTTTTTGCTTCTGTGATGCTGAGGAATCGAACCCAGGGCCTCAGGCATGCAAGGCAAGCGCTGTACCACTGAGCCTCCATATTCATACCATATCCATAACCCCAACCCATTCCACAGAGTTCTTCCTCACACATTCCCTAACCCTAAACCTTTCCTGGACCCTTACTCTAACATTTCCTCAAGTGCATCCCCAACCTCACCCTTTGTCTACCATATTTTCCCTACACCCTTTCCTGACCTTAAGCCTGACCTATTCCCATAATCCAAATGCTAGCCCTAACCTCACCAGATTGATAAAATCCTAACACTGACAATGACCCTGACTCTGACCCTAACCCCCAACCCTAGCACATGCTCCAACATGTACCCTATCAGTTATCCTAACACATACCTTACTCTAAAACCCTAAACTGTACCGCATACCCTAACAAGTACCCTAACAAATATAGTAAACAGTGTCACATTCTATCAAGTACCCTAACAAGTACTGTAAACCATACAGGCACATTTACGTACACCCTATCATCTACCTCAAATTCACCTTACCGCATACCCAAACACGTGCCCTTAATTAACCCAAACCATAACCCTAATATACACTATAGCGTATACTTTAACCCTAACACATACCCTAACTCTAACACGAACCCTGACATATACCATAAACTTCATTCTAACTCACACACATGCCATAACATACACTCTAAACGCTAAAATGTGTGGTAACAATGACTCTTACATGCACTCTAATACATGCAAGTACTCTTATAGTTAGGTAAACTAGCATGTACCCCAAACATACCATAATACATACCTTAACTCTAAGCCAAACCCTAACAAATGCTCTAACATGTACCCTACTGGTTAACACAGACCCTAACCATTATCATGTACTGTAAAGCTTACATATACCCTAACAAGTACCCTAAACTTATCCCAACATACTTCCTAACATGTTGCCTAACCCAAACCATAACTGTAACCTTAACACATACCCAAACACATACTGTAACACACACTCTAAACATTTACATGTATCCTAACAAGTACTCTAACATGTACTTCAAGTCATACATGTACCCTAGCATGTGCACAAAACATACCCTGTTTGCTAACATGTACTCTAAACACTAACTCATACCCTAACAAGGACCCTAACACTTATTCAAAACCATGCAAATACCCTTAAATACACTCAAACTTGTACCTTAAAGTAACCCAATGTACACCCTAATATGTGGCCTGACTTTAACATGTCTTTGAACCCCAACAGATTTCCCAATAGTACTCTAACACATTAAACATACTCTAGACACGCATATAATAACAAATACCCTAACACATATTCTATAAAGCATACAGGAACCTTACATGTACCCTGAATGTACCCTAACATACTCTAACTCTGACCTTTACATATACCCCAGGTACCTTGACACATACTTAAAAAAATTAATGTACCCTAACATGTGACTCAACCATATCCTAACATGTACCTTCACCCTAACGAATCCCCTGTGAAGTATGCTAACTCTAATACATACCCTAATATGTGCCCTAACTAACACACACTCTAGCATGTACCGTAACCCTAACAAATCCCCTATCAAGTGCCCTAACTCTAACACATACATGGACATGGACTCAAACACATACCCTAATATGTGCCATCACTTTCACATGTATGTTAAACCTAACAGATTCCCAATATACTGTAATACAAAAAACATGCTCTGGACACGAACCCATATGGTAACAAGTACCCATTCACATACTCTGTAAATTGTACCTGTACCCTGAATGTACCCTAACAAACTACAACTTCACATTTACCCTAAACGTAGCACATACCCTAATAAATACTCTAAATTCTAATACATTGTCCAAACCATCCAGGTAACCGTCTTACGTGTATCCCAAATGTGTAACCTGACACATGCATGTACCCTAACATATACCCCATCACACACCCTAATATGTACCCTGACTGACATGCATACACCACTCACTTCTCCTTTGCCACACCCCTCCTGTGCTCTGCCTCCCCACAAGCCCCGCCTCTGGACTCATTCTTGCCCCACCCCTATCATTCTCTGCCCCTACACAAGCCCCGCCCCTGGACCCCTCACTTCCATGCTCTGCTCCTCCCACAAGACTAGAGGGTGCAGTCTGCACTGATTCCCACCAGAGGGCGCTCTGGGTGTGTGCACGGTCCTTCTCAGGACCAGGGGCTGCAGTGGATAAAGTAGAGTGAAGTGTTGAGCGTTAACGCTTTCTTAATTGATGGCTGCTTTCAAGAATGATTCCCACCAGAGGGCGCTCTGGGTGTGTGCACTGTTCTTCTCAGGACCAGAGAGTGCAATGAACACTGATACCCACAAGACGGCGCTCTGGGTATGTACACTGTCCTTCTCAGGACCAGAGGGGGCAGTGAGCCCTGATTCTGACCAGAGGGCGCTCTAGGTGTGCACACTGTGCTCCTCTTGTCCTGGCCAGGTATGCAGTGTTCACTAATTCCCACCTGATGGTGCTCTAGGTGTGTGTACTGTCCTCCTCAGGACCCCAGATCCTCCCACAAGCCCACCCCTGCACTGCTCACTTCTTGCTCTGCTCCGCCCACAAAACCAGAGGATGCAGTGAGCACTGATTCCCACAAGAGGGTGCTCTAGGCTTGCACACTGTCCTCCTCTCCTCAGCACCTAGGGTGCGGTGATAGCTGATTCCCACCGGAGGGCACGCTAGACAGGTGAGCACCTTGCTCGTCTTCTCAGGACCAGGGGTGCAATGAGGGCTGTTTCCCACCAGAGGGTGCTCTAGGCATGCTCACCGTCCTCCTTTCCTCAAGACCAAGGGGTGCGGTGAGCGCTGATTCCCACCAGATGGTGGTCTAGCTGTGTACATGATCCTCCTCTTCTCAGGTCCAGGGGATGCAGTGACCAATGTTTCCCACCAGATGGTGCTCTAGGCCTGCACATGATCTTCCTCATCTCAGGACCAGAGAGGTGCAGTGACCACTGCTTCCTACCAGATGGTGCTCTAGGTATGCACACTGTCCCCAAGACCCTTGGCGTCCCACCAGCCCCGCCCCTGGACCGCTCACTTCCTGCTCCTGCCCCACCCCTGCAGTGCTCCACTCCTCCTCCTAGCCTGTAGCTGCAGCTACTTCTGCCCAGGACCCTGTAAAACTTGAAGCCCTGATGAAGTGTCCCAAAGCCTCAGTGCCAGAGACAGACCAGCCTCTGTTTGGTCCTGCTGCAAACTGTAGTGTCCCAACCCCAGAGCAGTCTTGTCCCAGTGTTACGGGGAAAAAAGTCCACTGTTCAGACAGCCTCACTTAAAAAGATGACTTTCTTGGGGAAGTGGAGAGCTAACCGGCCAGGGACGCAGCACAGACTCGGGAGCTGAAACTGCGACCCCGAACAACCCACAAGCTAGGGTTTTTAAAGGCAACATCCACGCCTGGCCACGCACAGGTGGCCAACGGGATTGTAAAACCACATAAGGGTTGCATGTTTATGTCCGTGGCTGGTGGGTTACAGTCCGACTCCTAGGAACTGTTTGAACTAACCTATCATTCTGGCTTGCATTGGCGGGCAAATTTGGGGTCCCCACACAAAGCAAGTGGATATTCTTACTCTTGGGGTTTGTATATTCTGGAAACATGATGTTATAGGCCCTGCATCCTTGAAGCTGGGGGCTGTTACAAAGACAGCTACGGGAGCTTTATTACAGAGATAGCTACAGGAGGATGCGCAATGTGCACACCGAGGCATCGACTCCCTTGAAGCAGGAGGCAATCGATCACGGGGTGGAATGCACAACGTTGCACGGCAGGCACCGTTCTAATTGGGCAGGGTATGACATAGGGGGGAATTCCATGTGAAATAGGTTTTAAGGTCTCCCTTCATGGCCTCTCTTTGTTTTTAGTAAAGGGTCAACTTCTCGGCATAGTTTTCCTCACACAGTCTGGGACCTTAACAGTCTAGGAGACCCTTTGCCCTACACCAGCTCTCAGTGAATTCTCAGTGTCAGCTCAAGCCAGCAGTCAGGGCCAGCAGTGATCTGCTGGGTGCCAGGAAGGAGATGGGGCTCCAGAGGAGCCCCAGCAATAGGGAGGTAAAATATGGAGGTAGAGGCTGCCCAGCAGAGGCAGGAACATTGTAATGGGTTGTGTTCCCAAAGTTCATGTATGCATGCTCTCATCACCCAATACCTGGGAATGTGACCTTACATGGAAATGGGCTTTTGGCAGGAGATCAACTCCAGTTCCTGTTGTTATTGTGCCCCTAAAAGGGGGAAATCGGGTCCCAGAAATGCACCCAGGGATGATCCTCTGCAGAGACGTCACTCTGCTCTCACAGGCTCAGAAGCTGAGAGAAGACCTAGAACTCACAGTGCCTTGTACCTCCTGAGGGAATGTGGCCCAGAAGACACTTATTCCATGCTGCTAAACTTCAGAGCTATGAACACAGATCTCTAAACAACCCAGTCTGCAGTGGTGTGTCATAGCAACCCTAGACCCTTATGTATGTTTAAATCCTTTATAGTATAAATCAGTTATAGCTAATCATTATCATCTAGTTAAGTATCATTTAAGACAGGGAGGATGTTAACACTAAAAACCAGTCCTCACATATCCCCATAAAAGCATTTTACATTTTGTGGAACTTTTCAATGTGCACTGCAATGTACTAGAGGTTAATAGATCAGGGGCTGGGAAGGTGGCTCAGTGGTAGAGCGCTTGCCTTGCATGCCTGAGGCCCTGGGTTCGATACCCCAGCACCACATAAGCAAAAAGCAAAAACCCGGAAGTGGCGCTGTGGCTCAAGTGGTAGAGCGCTAGCCTTGAGCTGAAGAGCTGAGGGACGGCGCCCAGGCCCAGAGTTCAGGCCCCACGAGGGGACCAATATATATATATATATTTCAGGTCCTAGTTGTTACTGTAATACATCCATGGTATCCATTTCATTTTGTGTTTTATTTGAAGCAACTCTAAATCCGACTCTGATCATTTTCCCAGAATGGAGTCAGACAGAACCACTTCACCTGTGCGCTTTCTCAGCTTCAGGGTGCCGGGACTCATAGTCCATAGGACGTGGCCTCTGCATGTCTTCTATGCCACAGGTCCTGAGGCCAGGAGGCCAGTGCACATATGCCTAGTATGCCCTCTGGTGGGAATCGGGACCCACTGCACCCCGAGTCCTGATGAGAGGACAGTGTGCAAGCCTAGGGCGCCCTCTGGTGGGCATCAGTGCTCACCGCACCCCGGGTCCTGATGAGGACAGCGCACAGGCCCAGAGCGCCCTCTGCTGGGCATTAGTGTTCGCCGCAGCCCGGGTCCCGAGGAGCGCAACTTCTTGAAAAGATCCAGTGGCCTTTGCTTTCACAGCTATATATTTATAGCACAAGTCGTTAGCAGCATATGTGTTTAATTACCCCATTAAGCTGCACACTACACTCCTTTTGAAAGAAATAACTTTATTTACTTATTGTGCCTCATTCACAAGAGTTATGGTTTGGATAAGAATTTCCTACACAGGCTCCTGTGTTGAATGCTTACTCTCCAGGTGTGGGACATTTTCAAGGGCTCTGGAAACGTAGGGAGACGGGGGCCTAGCTGAAATAGTTCATGGGCACTACTGGGCCTTGAACGCGGGGCTTAGGTGCAGTCCATCCTTGAGCTTTTTCACTCGAGCCGGCACATTAGCACTTGAGCAATGGCTATACTTCCAGCTTTTGTTTCCGTTGTCAATGGAAGGTAAGTCTCAAGGCTTTTTCTGCCCTATCTGGATTTGAACTCTCAAAGCCTCCTGAGTAGCTAGAATTTCAAGCATGAGCCACAGATGCCCTGCACAAGCCTCAGCTCTCAAAAGATTCTGCCCCACAACATTGCTAGACAAGGGACCAGGCCTCTGTCACAGGACCTTTGGAGACAAACCACATCCAAACCACACCAGTACCCATTCATGGTTATAACTTAAGACTTAAATTATTACAGTTTTTATGTTTTTCCTCATTGTAGAATCTCCTAGAAGACTCAGCAGATCCAATGACAGGAAAAGAAATGAATTTGTCAGTCTCTGAAGGTTTAGAGTATATCCATTAACCTCTAATCTTCATGTAAACCAGAAGATATGCAGTTTCCTGCCTATAAAGAGAAATTTATCAGCATAGCAAAATGAAACATTTACAATGAAAGGCTGTATGTATTTTTGGGTGGGTTGTGGGACTTGAATTCTGGGCCTGGGCACTGTCCCAGCTCAAGGCGAGGGCTCTACCACTTGAGCCATAAAGCCACTTCTAGTTTTCTGTAGCCAGTTACTTAGAGATAAGAGTCACAAACATTTTCCTGCCCAGGCTGGCTTTGATCCGCAATCCTCAGATCTCAGCCTCCTCAGTAGCTAGGATGACAGGAGTGAGCTACCAGTGCCTAGTTGAGGGGATATATTATTGATTCACAATAGGACCAAATTTCCAGGATAATGAAGCAAACCTTCATCTACCTAACCTGTCCGTCTCATCAAAGGGAAAGAAAATAGTGACTTGGGAAACTAACCTGTAAGTTCTTATTAGCTAACATACAAATCATGGACAGCATGGTGCTAACGGCTCATGCCTGTGATCCTAGCTACTCAGGAGGCTGAGATCTGAGGGTCATGGTTCAAAGGCAGCCTGGACAGAAAAGTCTGTGAGACTCTTATCTCCAATAAAATACTCAGAAAAAGCTGGAAGTAGCACTGTGGTTCGAGTGGTACAGCATTAATCTTGAATACAAAGAGGCTCAGGGATAGCACCCAGGCCCTGAGTTCATACCCAGGACTAGAAGAAAGAAAGGAAGAAAGGAAGGAAGGAAGGAAGGAAGCAAGGAAGGAAGGAAAACAAGGAAGGAAGAAAGGAAGGAAGGAAGGAAGGAAGGAAGGAAGGAAGGAAGGAAGGAAGGAAGGAGGAAAGGACCAGGGACAGACATATTATGGGACTATAAGCCAACTCCAACCCAGTTTTTTGCAAATAAACTTAATTGGAACATGGCCACTTACATTCATTCATTCACGTGCTGTCTGTGGCACCCTGCATGTTGCAAGGGCAAAGCTGAGTAACAGCTACAGAAGCTATGCTCCAAAACCCTAAGTACTTTCTCTCTAACTTCTACAGAGAAAGTTTGCTAACCCCTATTCTAAATCACAGGGGAATGAATAACCAAAAATTGGCTAAGAACAGGCACCTAAGAGAAATGTTGAGAATAAATAAAAGGAAAATATGAAAAGTAGGTAAAAGGAAGATATCAAACATAAGCTCCACCTAATCCATTAATTATGAAATCAAACCTCTGATGTAGCTGAATATCACCTGGTACAAGCACCATCACCCCCAATACCACCTCCAGTACCTACACTGTCACGCCCATACCACCTCCAGTACCTACACTGTCACCCCAATACCACCTCCACTACCTACACTGTCACCTCAATACCACCTCCACTACCTACACTGTCACCCCAATACCACCTCCATTACCTACACTGTCACCTCAATACCACCTCCACTACCTACACTGTGACCCCCATATCACCTCCAGTACCTACACTGTCACCCCCATATCACCTCCAGTACCTACACTGTCACCCCAATACCACCTCCAGTAACTACACTGTCACCCCCATATCACCTCCAGTACCTACACTGTCACCCCAATACCACCTCCACTACCTACACTGTCACACTCATACCACCTCCACTACCTACACTGTCACCCCCATACCACCTCCAGTACTTACACTGTCACCCCCACATCACCTCCAGTACCTACACTGTCACCCCCATACCAGCTCCACTACCTACACTGTCACCCCCATACCACCTCCAGTACCTACACTGTCAGTTCCATTTCCACCTCCAGTACATATAAAAATCTCTGCCTTAACTTTATCCAGCTTTTCTCTCTAGGTTAATGACTACGTCAGTATCATGTCCTGATGCCTACTGAGAAAGAGAAGAGTGGTCCTGGCCCCTGGTCTTCTGGGCACCACTGGCTCACACTTGTAACCCTTGTTATTCAGGAGGCTTAGATCAGAGAATTCAGGTTCAAAGCCAGCAGAGCAGAAAAGTCTTTGATACTCTTATCTCAAATTAACCACACAAAAGCAGGCCGTGGAGTTGTGGTTCATGTGATCGAGCACTAGCCTTGAGTGAAAAAGCTCAATGCCTAGGCCTAGACTTCAAACCCAAGAACCAGCACCAAAAAAAAAAAAAAAAAAAGAGCACATGGTCTGGTGTGAGGGGAAAAGTCGCAAAATCAAAAAACATTTTGAAGTGTAATAAAGGAGACCTGCTCAAAAAGCAACGAAAGCAAATAAGATAGCCCTGCCTTTGGAGCTCCAGCGGTGCAATCGGTTAGCGCGGTACTGATAAGATAGCCCCGCCAATCCGCTGGGGCCCATCATTAAAGGCTTTGCGCAGTAGGAGAGACCGTGATTATCAAAACACCACTAGGCACTTGCTCAGAAGATAAATTAGGACAGGGTCATAGAGACCAGAAAATACAGGTACACAGTTACAGAAGATGATGGACATGGTATTGGGACTTATGCCAGTGCTTTACTTAAGTCTAAATTCTGAGGGAAGTGTGGTGCCAGGGATGACTGCTGAAAGATGAGGCTGAATGGTAGTCAGTGGGGACTCTCGGATAAAGGCAATAGTTCATCCGTGCAGATTTCATAAAGCTCCAAGAACCCAGTGGACCCCACTCCCCCAAGTACTTCTCTTACCAGGGGTAGTGATGATTTCCATAGGTACACTGGACATCTTCCCAGGATACCTGGAAGAACATCACAGACATCAGCAGCTGGTTGGCAGCTGCTATTACGTGTTGACAGAACAGGGGACACTGTAATGTGCCCTGTTAGACTCCTGCAGAGAATGGAGAAGCCCACCCTGGCGACCACACAGCATCAGAGCATCTGGTGACACAACGCCGTGCATCCTGAGACCCTCTGTGATGTCCCCACTCACCTTGAAATGCTTACACCTATCCCAGAGTTTTACACCTTGCATCTTTAACGTCTCGCTCCACAGACGTTTCCTACAAAGCATAAACCTTCAAGGTACGGGGCTAAGAGCACCAGAAACCTAACACTGACACAAACAGATGCTTAGAAAGCAATAAACCATGGCTGGGAAGGTGGCTCAGTGGTAGAGTGCTCGCCTAGCATGCATGAAGCCCTGGGTTCCATTCCTCAGTACCACATACAGAAGAAACCGGAAGTGGTGCTGTGGCCGAAGTGGTAGGTAGAGCACTCTCCTTGAACACAAAGAGGCTGGGGAACAGCACCCAGACCCTGAGTCTAAGCCCCAAGTAAAGCAAGAAAATAAATAAATAAAGCAATAAACCTAGAGAATGGCTTTGAACCACAAAACTCCCCAGCTCCTACACACAAACTACAAGACCATAATGCGTCTTCAACTCTGAGCTGAGAATTCAGAGAAGGAGGAAAGTTTAGATGATGGTTCTCACCCAACAAACATTGGAGTCATTGAAGCAGAGCCATCTTCCATCCGCTGGATTCCGAATGTAGGCACAGTAATGACCGACGTCTGCCATCCCTACGTGGGCTATCACAGCGAAGAGTTCATACTGTGCTTCACGCTGGAAGAGGACAAGGCTGTAAGCGACCCATCCCTCCTTTCCCAGCCCTGGTCTTTAATGAGGAAGCATATTTGCCAGGCACTTGTTTACTGCCTGCTCTAGGCCCGGCACTGACACTTCCAAGGAGCTCGAAGAAAAGACCTTGACCTGCAGAATCTCACAGCTAGTTGAAGAGAAGCATCACAAACCAGAACTGTGATGCCTGTGTTATACCAGACGCACGACCAGTAAGTGGGGGATGTTCAATTTTTGCCAAGTGGGAACTCTGAGGAGGTCTCTGTTAACCATGCAGAAGGGTTTTTTAACATTGGCAGACAAGTTATCGGAAGGGAATTTGTTTTGGTTTGGTTTGGGGGGGAGGGGTTGTGAACTTTTTGTTTCACCTTGGTTTCTTCTTTGTTTTTGTTGGTTTGTTTTGAAGTTGCAGTTTGAACCCAGGGCCTCCTGCGTGCCAGGCAGGAGCCTTACCATTGAATCACACCCCTAGCTCTGTTCTGTGCTGTTTTGTCCTTCCCCAGGCAAAAGTCGGGAACATGATTTCCCCCGCTTCAGGCTTCCTATGATTAATGGGCTGATAGACACATGCCACCATCTGAACAGAAGACATAGTCTGAAAGTCTTCAGTTTGAGGTTAATGAAACTGTGAGAAATATGAGGTGACATTCAAAAAGGTGAGGAGAAGAAATGGAACTAGAATATCCACAAAACGCTGACAGAAAAGAACCCGAAAACGGACAGTGAAATGGCAGGACAGAAACCTTACAAAGACAGTAGGACACAAAGAGGAATGTTACAGACGCAAAGTCTCTACTACATGTGTCCATGAAGTGTTCCTTCCACTCCCTCAATATCTTAGAAAACTGTTTAAAAGAAAAGGGAACATTAGTAGTGAGAGTTTGGGCTGACTTTTTTGTTAGTCAAGAGTATTTCTTTCTTTCAAAAAAAAACCATAGCAGCAGAAACCCAACAGTGGTTATTAGGGGTTGTAATGAAAGATGCTGATCAAAGCGCACAAACTTCCAGTTAGACGGGAGGAATGAGTTTCAGAACAATGTCATACAGTATCGATGTGTTCCACACCGGAAAATGCTTTTCAAGAATTTTTACATACGCTCACCACAAAGACACAGGTGAAGTGATAAGTATGTTGTCTAGCTTGAGCTAATCTTTCCAAAATTTGAGGATGGGTGCGGTTGCACACCTATAATCCAGGTTCTCCAGAGGGGGAGATCAGAAAGGCTGTGGACAAAGTCAGCCTGGCCAGAAAGCTAGTGAGACTCCGATCTCAACAGACAAGCCAGACACAAGTGCACACCCGGAAGCCTGTCCCTTGGAGAGGCAGAGGTAGAAGAGCAGTCCAAGGTCAGGCCTGGACAAAAACAAACCACTGCCTGATAACAGAACTCAAGCAAAAAGGCCCAGCGGCTTGGCTCAGATGGTGAATGGCGATGTGCTTGCTACAGGCCCAGCGTGACACATTAGTCAGTGCCAAGACCACAAGACACCATTCCTCCGGCATGCGTACGTCACAGCACCACACTGAAATCCCTACACACAAATACTTTCCATGTGTCAACATTGGAAAGAAGGCAGGTTTGTCCTGAATCTTTAAAGAAACTAACACTAGGAACAACAAAGGCTTGTGGTGACATTGTTATAATGATAACCCCAGCACGGACCCCGGGGGACCACATGGTCATTAAAATCAATAATGCTTAGAAAAAAACAAAAACAGCCTTTCTTTTCTTTGTGAGGCAGGGTCTTAACTGTGTAGCTCACACTGGCCTTGAACCAATGCCCCTCTGGTCTACGTCTCCCAGCCGCAAAGAAGATAGGCACGTGCCAACATACTGGCTGAACAATAAATAAATAAATTGAATTTAAAATGTTTTTAAGCCCTCTGCCTTGAATATGCCTTTGCTTCTGTGACTCGCAGCAACCTGAGGCCAGCCTGTCCTCGGTGCGGGCCCCGCCTAGCCCGCAGAGGGCACACTTCCTCAGACAGAGCAGTGCTCAGAGGCTGAGCTCACCACGCCTGGCTCCCCTCCCGGGGGCGCTGCGCACCCAGCACCGGGCTGCTCCGAGCCCTCACACTGTGGAGGTGAGCTGAAGACCAAATCGCTAACCCGGGCCTGGGGAGCCTGAACCAGGGGAGTCACCAGTCGGTGCCATCTAGCAGTCGAGGGGTAAGAGCGCTGAACCTGGAGGACGCCGCGTCTGGTAGGATCGATCCAGAACACCTCACCTGCTCTGCGTCCTCAGTGAAGTCTTGATGCTCAGCCAGAAGAACCTGACTGAGATCCAAGCGCTGAGGGAAGTGCAGCAAGTGGCAGACTTTCTCCGTCTGTGAGTTCCGAATGGAGAATCGCATCAGGTGAAGGGTCAGGGTTTGGGGCAGATGCGTCATCCTCAAGACCTGCAAAAGCAAAACTCACTGTGAGACGGGGCCCCGAGGCGCTTGCGGGAAGATCCTGAGAAACGCCGGGCCTGGTGGCAGGTTCTCCTCCCCAGGGGGAGGGGTGCGGGGGACACACTGGGGAGCTGAAGGCTTCCATGGCAGAATCCATTCCTCTCCCCGGAGACTCAGGGGACGCTTGGCCGGCACAGCACTATGGACCTCAGACAAAAGCCGTGAGCTGCTCAGGGCTCCGCAGAGGTGCCTGGCCCTCAGAAACTAGGAGTCTGCTGTAGGGAGCATCTCTAAAACCAAAAAGGAAACCCCACCGCCCCCACCCAGCCCCATGCCGTCACCTGCCACTCCTGGTGGAAGACTGTGGTCAAGAAGCGACATCCACAGCCCCGTCTATGAGAAGCCCGAGGGTCTGAACTAGCCTCACCCACATCCCACCCCATCCGCCATCAGGAAGGGCCCGGAAGTGTCTGGGAAGCCTTGGCCCAGCAACAGCCCGCCCCGGAGACGCATCTGAACCTGAGGGTGGGCACCTGGCTTCCGCGCGTCTTCGTCCCGCAGGCCTCGCAGAACCACTTGCTCTTGCTGGCTAACTCCCTGGGGTGGAAAAAACAGCGCAGGGCCTCCTCCTGCCAGCGGAGGCCGCAGGGAAAGGCCGCGTCAGCAGACCCTTTCCATGGGCACGCGGCCACCCCACAGGGGAGGGCTGAGCTCCGCTGCAGGTTCCCCCACTGTCCCCCAAGCACCCCACTACCAGCGCTACATCTGTCAGGATCTTCCACCCACTGGAGGAGAAAACACAAGGAGCCCTGGTTAATACGAGGGTGAGAAAATTAGAAACAGGATAGAACTTCTGCTGCTGCTCAAAGAAATTGGCCACCTAGAGCCGTGCAAGTGAAACAGAGTTGTTAGTGTCCGCGGGTGGAAGGACACGGGGAACTGGCATGGCGGGGGAAACTGGCATGGCTGGGCGACCCTTTCTCACCCAGTCTCTCACCAGTGTTTTCAGAGGCTTTGCGTCCACGTCATAGAGAGGGAGGGAGAGGGTCAGCATACTGCTGTTCCTACTGCTCTCTCTGGTAGAGAGGAGGCAAACCAGGGACTCCTTCACCCGGATCGTGTACAGGGCCTGCAGCCTCTCTACCTGCAAGAAGGCGCCAAGGACGGGTGAGGCTATGGCCACAGTTGGACCTGTTGGACTGACGAGCCCTGACGCTCCCGGCAGGTACCGGGAAGGACACCAGGAACCGTGGCAAGCGGTCTCCACGGATCCCTTACTACAAATGCACAATGGTGAGCGACCTCTACAGGTCCTGGGATTCCAGCTTCAGCTCTTACCAAGTCCACATCATCTATTTGATCCTTAAGAAGGTTCCAGAACGTGAGGTAGAGCTGAGCAGCATCGTGCTGGACAAACACTGGTTAAAAAAAAGTAACAGCACATCAGTGCGTTCGCTGGAGAAGTCCCATGTCCTCACGACCCCTAGCTACGTGAACACTCACCACCTTGCCTTTGACTCTCCCAACTCCCAAAAGAGGTCAGGAGGTACCACATGGCAGGCGCTCAGGAAGGGAGAAGCATTCTTGGTGCTGGATTTGACAGAGCCTCTTAAACTTAAGCCTCGGGAAGGGAACAAGGCTCTGCTCTACGCACTCTGAAGGGTATGGTACACCGGCAGCCTCTGTGGAGGGGGAAAGGCTTGCCACAGAAAAGCCAGAGCAGGAGCTGAACTCCCTGAGCGGCGCAGAGAGGTGGGCACATGCTGCCGGGCCGGCCGGGGGCTGCCGGGCATGCCCCGCCTGGCCCCACTGGATTCCCTAGAACAGACCAGCTCCAGGGACTCTCCAGAGCACAGGAGCGGCGCCTCCTCGCTCCATCCGCTGCTCTGTTCCCAGCTTGCACCTGGCCAAGCCAGAACTCTGAAGGGAGGGGCAGACCACAAGATGGAGCGCCAGACGGCATTTCTTCTCAGCAAAGAAAGAAAAATTACTCCTTTTTTTTTTTGCTGTACTTTTTTTTTTATTTATTTATTTTTGGGTCTGGTTGTGGGGCCTGAACTCTGGGCCTGGGCGCTGTCCCTCAGCTCTTCAGCTCAAGGCTAGCGCTCTACCACTTGAGCCACAGCGCCACTTCCGGCTTTTTTTCTTTTTGCTTCTGTGATGCTGAGGAATCGAACCCAGGGCCTCAGGCATGCAAGGCAAGCGCTGTACCACTGAGCCTCCATATTCATACCATATCCATAACCCCAACCCATTCCACAGAGTTCTTCCTCACACATTCCCTAACCCTAAACCTTTCCTGGACCCTTACTCTAACATTTCCTCAAGTGCATCCCCAACCTCACCCTTTGTCTACCATATTTTCCCTACACCCTTTCCTGACCTTAAGCCTGACCTATTCCCATAATCCAAATGCTAGCCCTAACCTCACCAGATTGATAAAATCCTAACACTGACAATGACCCTGACTCTGACCCTAACCCCCAACCCTAGCACATGCTCCAACATGTACCCTATCAGTTATCCTAACACATACCTTACTCTAAAACCCTAAACTGTACCGCATACCCTAACAAGTACCCTAACAAATATAGTAAACAGTGTCACATTCTATCAAGTACCCTAACAAGTACTGTAAACCATACAGGCACATTTACGTACACCCTATCATCTACCTCAAATTCACCTTACCGCATACCCAAACACGTGCCCTTAATTAACCCAAACCATAACCCTAATATACACTATAGCGTATACTTTAACCCTAACACATACCCTAACTCTAACACGAACCCTGACATATACCATAAACTTCATTCTAACTCACACACATGCCATAACATACACTCTAAACGCTAAAATGTGTGGTAACAATGACTCTTACATGCACTCTAATACATGCAAGTACTCTTATAGTTAGGTAAACTAGCATGTACCCCAAACATACCATAATACATACCTTAACTCTAAGCCAAACCCTAACAAATGCTCTAACATGTACCCTACTGGTTAACACAGACCCTAACCATTATCATGTACTGTAAAGCTTACATATACCCTAACAAGTACCCTAAACTTATCCCAACATACTTCCTAACATGTTGCCTAACCCAAACCATAACTGTAACCTTAACACATACCCAAACACATACTGTAACACACACTCTAAACATTTACATGTATCCTAACAAGTACTCTAACATGTACTTCAAGTCATACATGTACCCTAGCATGTGCACAAAACATACCCTGTTTGCTAACATGTACTCTAAACACTAACTCATACCCTAACAAGGACCCTAACACTTATTCAAAACCATGCAAATACCCTTAAATACACTCAAACTTGTACCTTAAAGTAACCCAATGTACACCCTAATATGTGGCCTGACTTTAACATGTCTTTGAACCCCAACAGATTTCCCAATAGTACTCTAACACATTAAACATACTCTAGACACGCATATAATAACAAATACCCTAACACATATTCTATAAAGCATACAGGAACCTTACATGTACCCTGAATGTACCCTAACATACTCTAACTCTGACCTTTACATATACCCCAGGTACCTTGACACATACTTAAAAAAATTAATGTACCCTAACATGTGACTCAACCATATCCTAACATGTACCTTCACCCTAACGAATCCCCTGTGAAGTATGCTAACTCTAATACATACCCTAATATGTGCCCTAACTAACACACACTCTAGCATGTACCGTAACCCTAACAAATCCCCTATCAAGTGCCCTAACTCTAACACATACATGGACATGGACTCAAACACATACCCTAATATGTGCCATCACTTTCACATGTATGTTAAACCTAACAGATTCCCAATATACTGTAATACAAAAAACATGCTCTGGACACGAACCCATATGGTAACAAGTACCCATTCACATACTCTGTAAATTGTACCTGTACCCTGAATGTACCCTAACAAACTACAACTTCACATTTACCCTAAACGTAGCACATACCCTAATAAATACTCTAAATTCTAATACATTGTCCAAACCATCCAGGTAACCGTCTTACGTGTATCCCAAATGTGTAACCTGACACATGCATGTACCCTAACATATACCCCATCACACACCCTAATATGTACCCTGACTGACATGCATACACCACTCACTTCTCCTTTGCCACACCCCTCCTGTGCTCTGCCTCCCCACAAGCCCCGCCTCTGGACTCATTCTTGCCCCACCCCTATCATTCTCTGCCCCTACACAAGCCCCGCCCCTGGACCCCTCACTTCCATGCTCTGCTCCTCCCACAAGACTAGAGGGTGCAGTCTGCACTGATTCCCACCAGAGGGCGCTCTGGGTGTGTGCACGGTCCTTCTCAGGACCAGGGGCTGCAGTGGATAAAGTAGAGTGAAGTGTTGAGCGTTAACGCTTTCTTAATTGATGGCTGCTTTCAAGAATGATTCCCACCAGAGGGCGCTCTGGGTGTGTGCACTGTTCTTCTCAGGACCAGAGAGTGCAATGAACACTGATACCCACAAGACGGCGCTCTGGGTATGTACACTGTCCTTCTCAGGACCAGAGGGGGCAGTGAGCCCTGATTCTGACCAGAGGGCGCTCTAGGTGTGCACACTGTGCTCCTCTTGTCCTGGCCAGGTATGCAGTGTTCACTAATTCCCACCTGATGGTGCTCTAGGTGTGTGTACTGTCCTCCTCAGGACCCCAGATCCTCCCACAAGCCCACCCCTGCACTGCTCACTTCTTGCTCTGCTCCGCCCACAAAACCAGAGGATGCAGTGAGCACTGATTCCCACAAGAGGGTGCTCTAGGCTTGCACACTGTCCTCCTCTCCTCAGCACCTAGGGTGCGGTGATAGCTGATTCCCACCGGAGGGCACGCTAGACAGGTGAGCACCTTGCTCGTCTTCTCAGGACCAGGGGTGCAATGAGGGCTGTTTCCCACCAGAGGGTGCTCTAGGCATGCTCACCGTCCTCCTTTCCTCAAGACCAAGGGGTGCGGTGAGCGCTGATTCCCACCAGATGGTGGTCTAGCTGTGTACATGATCCTCCTCTTCTCAGGTCCAGGGGATGCAGTGACCAATGTTTCCCACCAGATGGTGCTCTAGGCCTGCACATGATCTTCCTCATCTCAGGACCAGAGAGGTGCAGTGACCACTGCTTCCTACCAGATGGTGCTCTAGGTATGCACACTGTCCCCAAGACCCTTGGCGTCCCACCAGCCCCGCCCCTGGACCGCTCACTTCCTGCTCCTGCCCCACCCCTGCAGTGCTCCACTCCTCCTCCTAGCCTGTAGCTGCAGCTACTTCTGCCCAGGACCCTGTAAAACTTGAAGCCCTGATGAAGTGTCCCAAAGCCTCAGTGCCAGAGACAGACCAGCCTCTGTTTGGTCCTGCTGCAAACTGTAGTGTCCCAACCCCAGAGCAGTCTTGTCCCAGTGTTACGGGGAAAAAAGTCCACTGTTCAGACAGCCTCACTTAAAAAGATGACTTTCTTGGGGAAGTGGAGAGCTAACCGGCCAGGGACGCAGCACAGACTCGGGAGCTGAAACTGCGACCCCGAACAACCCACAAGCTAGGGTTTTTAAAGGCAACATCCACGCCTGGCCACGCACAGGTGGCCAACGGGATTGTAAAACCACATAAGGGTTGCATGTTTATGTCCGTGGCTGGTGGGTTACAGTCCGACTCCTAGGAACTGTTTGAACTAACCTATCATTCTGGCTTGCATTGGCGGGCAAATTTGGGGTCCCCACACAAAGCAAGTGGATATTCTTACTCTTGGGGTTTGTATATTCTGGAAACATGATGTTATAGGCCCTGCATCCTTGAAGCTGGGGGCTGTTACAAAGACAGCTACGGGAGCTTTATTACAGAGATAGCTACAGGAGGATGCGCAATGTGCACACCGAGGCATCGACTCCCTTGAAGCAGGAGGCAATCGATCACGGGGTGGAATGCACAACGTTGCACGGCAGGCACCGTTCTAATTGGGCAGGGTATGACATAGGGGGGAATTCCATGTGAAATAGGTTTTAAGGTCTCCCTTCATGGCCTCTCTTTGTTTTTAGTAAAGGGTCAACTTCTCGGCATAGTTTTCCTCACACAGTCTGGGACCTTAACAGTCTAGGAGACCCTTTGCCCTACACCAGCTCTCAGTGAATTCTCAGTGTCAGCTCAAGCCAGCAGTCAGGGCCAGCAGTGATCTGCTGGGTGCCAGGAAGGAGATGGGGCTCCAGAGGAGCCCCAGCAATAGGGAGGTAAAATATGGAGGTAGAGGCTGCCCAGCAGAGGCAGGAACATTGTAATGGGTTGTGTTCCCAAAGTTCATGTATGCATGCTCTCATCACCCAATACCTGGGAATGTGACCTTACATGGAAATGGGCTTTTGGCAGGAGATCAACTCCAGTTCCTGTTGTTATTGTGCCCCTAAAAGGGGGAAATCGGGTCCCAGAAATGCACCCAGGGATGATCCTCTGCAGAGACGTCACTCTGCTCTCACAGGCTCAGAAGCTGAGAGAAGACCTAGAACTCACAGTGCCTTGTACCTCCTGAGGGAATGTGGCCCAGAAGACACTTATTCCATGCTGCTAAACTTCAGAGCTATGAACACAGATCTCTAAACAACCCAGTCTGCAGTGGTGTGTCATAGCAACCCTAGACCCTTATGTATGTTTAAATCCTTTATAGTATAAATCAGTTATAGCTAATCATTATCATCTAGTTAAGTATCATTTAAGACAGGGAGGATGTTAACACTAAAAACCAGTCCTCACATATCCCCATAAAAGCATTTTACATTTTGTGGAACTTTTCAATGTGCACTGCAATGTACTAGAGGTTAATAGATCAGGGGCTGGGAAGGTGGCTCAGTGGTAGAGCGCTTGCCTTGCATGCCTGAGGCCCTGGGTTCGATACCCCAGCACCACATAAGCAAAAAGCAAAAACCCGGAAGTGGCGCTGTGGCTCAAGTGGTAGAGCGCTAGCCTTGAGCTGAAGAGCTGAGGGACGGCGCCCAGGCCCAGAGTTCAGGCCCCACGAGGGGACCAATATATATATATATATTTCAGGTCCTAGTTGTTACTGTAATACATCCATGGTATCCATTTCATTTTGTGTTTTATTTGAAGCAACTCTAAATCCGACTCTGATCATTTTCCCAGAATGGAGTCAGACAGAACCACTTCACCTGTGCGCTTTCTCAGCTTCAGGGTGCCGGGACTCATAGTCCATAGGACGTGGCCTCTGCATGTCTTCTATGCCACAGGTCCTGAGGCCAGGAGGCCAGTGCACATATGCCTAGTATGCCCTCTGGTGGGAATCGGGACCCACTGCACCCCGAGTCCTGATGAGAGGACAGTGTGCAAGCCTAGGGCGCCCTCTGGTGGGCATCAGTGCTCACCGCACCCCGGGTCCTGATGAGGACAGCGCACAGGCCCAGAGCGCCCTCTGCTGGGCATTAGTGTTCGCCGCAGCCCGGGTCCCGAGGAGCGCAACTTCTTGAAAAGATCCAGTGGCCTTTGCTTTCACAGCTATATATTTATAGCACAAGTCGTTAGCAGCATATGTGTTTAATTACCCCATTAAGCTGCACACTACACTCCTTTTGAAAGAAATAACTTTATTTACTTATTGTGCCTCATTCACAAGAGTTATGGTTTGGATAAGAATTTCCTACACAGGCTCCTGTGTTGAATGCTTACTCTCCAGGTGTGGGACATTTTCAAGGGCTCTGGAAACGTAGGGAGACGGGGGCCTAGCTGAAATAGTTCATGGGCACTACTGGGCCTTGAACGCGGGGCTTAGGTGCAGTCCATCCTTGAGCTTTTTCACTCGAGCCGGCACATTAGCACTTGAGCAATGGCTATACTTCCAGCTTTTGTTTCCGTTGTCAATGGAAGGTAAGTCTCAAGGCTTTTTCTGCCCTATCTGGATTTGAACTCTCAAAGCCTCCTGAGTAGCTAGAATTTCAAGCATGAGCCACAGATGCCCTGCACAAGCCTCAGCTCTCAAAAGATTCTGCCCCACAACATTGCTAGACAAGGGACCAGGCCTCTGTCACAGGACCTTTGGAGACAAACCACATCCAAACCACACCAGTACCCATTCATGGTTATAACTTAAGACTTAAATTATTACAGTTTTTATGTTTTTCCTCATTGTAGAATCTCCTAGAAGACTCAGCAGATCCAATGACAGGAAAAGAAATGAATTTGTCAGTCTCTGAAGGTTTAGAGTATATCCATTAACCTCTAATCTTCATGTAAACCAGAAGATATGCAGTTTCCTGCCTATAAAGAGAAATTTATCAGCATAGCAAAATGAAACATTTACAATGAAAGGCTGTATGTATTTTTGGGTGGGTTGTGGGACTTGAATTCTGGGCCTGGGCACTGTCCCAGCTCAAGGCGAGGGCTCTACCACTTGAGCCATAAAGCCACTTCTAGTTTTCTGTAGCCAGTTACTTAGAGATAAGAGTCACAAACATTTTCCTGCCCAGGCTGGCTTTGATCCGCAATCCTCAGATCTCAGCCTCCTCAGTAGCTAGGATGACAGGAGTGAGCTACCAGTGCCTAGTTGAGGGGATATATTATTGATTCACAATAGGACCAAATTTCCAGGATAATGAAGCAAACCTTCATCTACCTAACCTGTCCGTCTCATCAAAGGGAAAGAAAATAGTGACTTGGGAAACTAACCTGTAAGTTCTTATTAGCTAACATACAAATCATGGACAGCATGGTGCTAACGGCTCATGCCTGTGATCCTAGCTACTCAGGAGGCTGAGATCTGAGGGTCATGGTTCAAAGGCAGCCTGGACAGAAAAGTCTGTGAGACTCTTATCTCCAATAAAATACTCAGAAAAAGCTGGAAGTAGCACTGTGGTTCGAGTGGTACAGCATTAATCTTGAATACAAAGAGGCTCAGGGATAGCACCCAGGCCCTGAGTTCATACCCAGGACTAGAAGAAAGAAAGGAAGAAAGGAAGGAAGGAAGGAAGGAAGCAAGGAAGGAAGGAAAACAAGGAAGGAAGAAAGGAAGGAAGGAAGGAAGGAAGGAAGGAAGGAAGGAAGGAAGGAAGGAAGGAGGAAAGGACCAGGGACAGACATATTATGGGACTATAAGCCAACTCCAACCCAGTTTTTTGCAAATAAACTTAATTGGAACATGGCCACTTACATTCATTCATTCACGTGCTGTCTGTGGCACCCTGCATGTTGCAAGGGCAAAGCTGAGTAACAGCTACAGAAGCTATGCTCCAAAACCCTAAGTACTTTCTCTCTAACTTCTACAGAGAAAGTTTGCTAACCCCTATTCTAAATCACAGGGGAATGAATAACCAAAAATTGGCTAAGAACAGGCACCTAAGAGAAATGTTGAGAATAAATAAAAGGAAAATATGAAAAGTAGGTAAAAGGAAGATATCAAACATAAGCTCCACCTAATCCATTAATTATGAAATCAAACCTCTGATGTAGCTGAATATCACCTGGTACAAGCACCATCACCCCCAATACCACCTCCAGTACCTACACTGTCACGCCCATACCACCTCCAGTACCTACACTGTCACCCCAATACCACCTCCACTACCTACACTGTCACCTCAATACCACCTCCACTACCTACACTGTCACCCCAATACCACCTCCATTACCTACACTGTCACCTCAATACCACCTCCACTACCTACACTGTGACCCCCATATCACCTCCAGTACCTACACTGTCACCCCCATATCACCTCCAGTACCTACACTGTCACCCCAATACCACCTCCAGTAACTACACTGTCACCCCCATATCACCTCCAGTACCTACACTGTCACCCCAATACCACCTCCACTACCTACACTGTCACACTCATACCACCTCCACTACCTACACTGTCACCCCCATACCACCTCCAGTACTTACACTGTCACCCCCACATCACCTCCAGTACCTACACTGTCACCCCCATACCAGCTCCACTACCTACACTGTCACCCCCATACCACCTCCAGTACCTACACTGTCAGTTCCATTTCCACCTCCAGTACATATAAAAATCTCTGCCTTAACTTTATCCAGCTTTTCTCTCTAGGTTAATGACTACGTCAGTATCATGTCCTGATGCCTACTGAGAAAGAGAAGAGTGGTCCTGGCCCCTGGTCTTCTGGGCACCACTGGCTCACACTTGTAACCCTTGTTATTCAGGAGGCTTAGATCAGAGAATTCAGGTTCAAAGCCAGCAGAGCAGAAAAGTCTTTGATACTCTTATCTCAAATTAACCACACAAAAGCAGGCCGTGGAGTTGTGGTTCATGTGATCGAGCACTAGCCTTGAGTGAAAAAGCTCAATGCCTAGGCCTAGACTTCAAACCCAAGAACCAGCACCAAAAAAAAAAAAAAAAAAAGAGCACATGGTCTGGTGTGAGGGGAAAAGTCGCAAAATCAAAAAACATTTTGAAGTGTAATAAAGGAGACCTGCTCAAAAAGCAACGAAAGCAAATAAGATAGCCCTGCCTTTGGAGCTCCAGCGGTGCAATCGGTTAGCGCGGTACTGATAAGATAGCCCCGCCAATCCGCTGGGGCCCATCATTAAAGGCTTTGCGCAGTAGGAGAGACCGTGATTATCAAAACACCACTAGGCACTTGCTCAGAAGATAAATTAGGACAGGGTCATAGAGACCAGAAAATACAGGTACACAGTTACAGAAGATGATGGACATGGTATTGGGACTTATGCCAGTGCTTTACTTAAGTCTAAATTCTGAGGGAAGTGTGGTGCCAGGGATGACTGCTGAAAGATGAGGCTGAATGGTAGTCAGTGGGGACTCTCGGATAAAGGCAATAGTTCATCCGTGCAGATTTCATAAAGCTCCAAGAACCCAGTGGACCCCACTCCCCCAAGTACTTCTCTTACCAGGGGTAGTGATGATTTCCATAGGTACACTGGACATCTTCCCAGGACACCTGGAAGAACATCACAGACATCAGCAGCTGGTTGGCAGCTGCTATTACGTGTTGACAGAACAGGGGACACTGTAATGTGCCCTGTTAGACTCCTGCAGAGAATGGAGAAGCCCACCCTGGCGACCACACAGCATCAGAGCATCTGGTGACACAACGCCGTGCATCCTGAGACCCTCTGTGATGTCCCCACTCACCTTGAAATGCTTACACCTATCCCAGAGTTTTACACCTTGCATCTTTAACGTCTCGCTCCACAGACGTTTCCTACAAAGCATAAACCTTCAAGGTACGGGGCTAAGAGCACCAGAAACCTAACACTGACACAAACAGATGCTTAGAAAGCAATAAACCATGGCTGGGAAGGTGGCTCAGTGGTAGAGTGCTCGCCTAGCATGCATGAAGCCCTGGGTTCCATTCCTCAGTACCACATACAGAAGAAACCGGAAGTGGTGCTGTGGCCGAAGTGGTAGGTAGAGCACTCTCCTTGAACACAAAGAGGCTGGGGAACAGCACCCAGACCCTGAGTCTAAGCCCCAAGTAAAGCAAGAAAATAAATAAATAAAGCAATAAACCTAGAGAATGGCTTTGAACCACAAAACTCCCCAGCTCCTACACACAAACTACAAGACCATAATGCGTCTTCAACTCTGAGCTGAGAATTCAGAGAAGGAGGAAAGTTTAGATGATGGTTCTCACCCAACAAACATTGGAGTCATTGAAGCAGAGCCATCTTCCATCCGCTGGATTCCGAATGTAGGCACAGTAATGACCGACGTCTGCCATCCCTACGTGGGCTATCACAGCGAAGAGTTCATACTGTGCTTCACGCTGGAAGAGGACAAGGCTGTAAGCGACCCATCCCTCCTTTCCCAGCCCTGGTCTTTAATGAGGAAGCATATTTGCCAGGCACTTGTTTACTGCCTGCTCTAGGCCCGGCACTGACACTTCCAAGGAGCTCGAAGAAAAGACCTTGACCTGCAGAATCTCACAGCTAGTTGAAGAGAAGCATCACAAACCAGAACTGTGATGCCTGTGTTATACCAGACGCACGACCAGTAAGTGGGGGATGTTCAATTTTTGCCAAGTGGGAACTCTGAGGAGGTCTCTGTTAACCATGCAGAAGGGTTTTTTAACATTGGCAGACAAGTTATCGGAAGGGAATTTGTTTTGGTTTGGTTTGGGGGGGAGGGGTTGTGAACTTTTTGTTTCACCTTGGTTTCTTCTTTGTTTTTGTTGGTTTGTTTTGAAGTTGCAGTTTGAACCCAGGGCCTCCTGCGTGCCAGGCAGGAGCCTTACCATTGAATCACACCCCTAGCTCTGTTCTGTGCTGTTTTGTCCTTCCCCAGGCAAAAGTCGGGAACATGATTTCCCCCGCTTCAGGCTTCCTATGATTAATGGGCTGATAGACACATGCCACCATCTGAACAGAAGACATAGTCTGAAAGTCTTCAGTTTGAGGTTAATGAAACTGTGAGAAATATGAGGTGACATTCAAAAAGGTGAGGAGAAGAAATGGAACTAGAATATCCACAAAACGCTGACAGAAAAGAACCCGAAAACGGACAGTGAAATGGCAGGACAGAAACCTTACAAAGACAGTAGGACACAAAGAGGAATGTTACAGACGCAAAGTCTCTACTACATGTGTCCATGAAGTGTTCCTTCCACTCCCTCAATATCTTAGAAAACTGTTTAAAAGAAAAGGGAACATTAGTAGTGAGAGTTTGGGCTGACTTTTTTGTTAGTCAAGAGTATTTCTTTCTTTCAAAAAAAAACCATAGCAGCAGAAACCCAACAGTGGTTATTAGGGGTTGTAATGAAAGATGCTGATCAAAGCGCACAAACTTCCAGTTAGACGGGAGGAATGAGTTTCAGAACAATGTCATACAGTATCGATGTGTTCCACACCGGAAAATGCTTTTCAAGAATTTTTACATACGCTCACCACAAAGACACAGGTGAAGTGATAAGTATGTTGTCTAGCTTGAGCTAATCTTTCCAAAATTTGAGGATGGGTGCGGTTGCACACCTATAATCCAGGTTCTCCAGAGGGGGAGATCAGAAAGGCTGTGGACAAAGTCAGCCTGGCCAGAAAGCTAGTGAGACTCCGATCTCAACAGACAAGCCAGACACAAGTGCACACCCGGAAGCCTGTCCCTTGGAGAGGCAGAGGTAGAAGAGCAGTCCAAGGTCAGGCCTGGACAAAAACAAACCACTGCCTGATAACAGAACTCAAGCAAAAAGGCCCAGCGGCTTGGCTCAGATGGTGAATGGCGATGTGCTTGCTACAGGCCCAGCGTGACACATTAGTCAGTGCCAAGACCACAAGACACCATTCCTCCGGCATGCGTACGTCACAGCACCACACTGAAATCCCTACACACAAATACTTTCCATGTGTCAACATTGGAAAGAAGGCAGGTTTGTCCTGAATCTTTAAAGAAACTAACACTAGGAACAACAAAGGCTTGTGGTGACATTGTTATAATGATAACCCCAGCACGGACCCCGGGGGACCACATGGTCATTAAAATCAATAATGCTTAGAAAAAAACAAAAACAGCCTTTCTTTTCTTTGTGAGGCAGGGTCTTAACTGTGTAGCTCACACTGGCCTTGAACCAATGCCCCTCTGGTCTACGTCTCCCAGCCGCAAAGAAGATAGGCACGTGCCAACATACTGGCTGAACAATAAATAAATAAATTGAATTTAAAATGTTTTTAAGCCCTCTGCCTTGAATATGCCTTTGCTTCTGTGACTCGCAGCAACCTGAGGCCAGCCTGTCCTCGGTGCGGGCCCCGCCTAGCCCGCAGAGGGCACACTTCCTCAGACAGAGCAGTGCTCAGAGGCTGAGCTCACCACGCCTGGCTCCCCTCCCGGGGGCGCTGCGCACCCAGCACCGGGCTGCTCCGAGCCCTCACACTGTGGAGGTGAGCTGAAGACCAAATCGCTAACCCGGGCCTGGGGAGCCTGAACCAGGGGAGTCACCAGTCGGTGCCATCTAGCAGTCGAGGGGTAAGAGCGCTGAACCTGGAGGACGCCGCGTCTGGTAGGATCGATCCAGAACACCTCACCTGCTCTGCGTCCTCAGTGAAGTCTTGATGCTCAGCCAGAAGAACCTGACTGAGATCCAAGCGCTGAGGGAAGTGCAGCAAGTGGCAGACTTTCTCCGTCTGTGAGTTCCGAATGGAGAATCGCATCAGGTGAAGGGTCAGGGTTTGGGGCAGATGCGTCATCCTCAAGACCTGCAAAAGCAAAACTCACTGTGAGACGGGGCCCCGAGGCGCTTGCGGGAAGATCCTGAGAAACGCCGGGCCTGGTGGCAGGTTCTCCTCCCCAGGGGGAGGGGTGCGGGGGACACACTGGGGAGCTGAAGGCTTCCATGGCAGAATCCATTCCTCTCCCCGGAGACTCAGGGGACGCTTGGCCGGCACAGCACTATGGACCTCAGACAAAAGCCGTGAGCTGCTCAGGGCTCCGCAGAGGTGCCTGGCCCTCAGAAACTAGGAGTCTGCTGTAGGGAGCATCTCTAAAACCAAAAAGGAAACCCCACCGCCCCCACCCAGCCCCATGCCGTCACCTGCCACTCCTGGTGGAAGACTGTGGTCAAGAAGCGACATCCACAGCCCCGTCTATGAGAAGCCCGAGGGTCTGAACTAGCCTCACCCACATCCCACCCCATCCGCCATCAGGAAGGGCCCGGAAGTGTCTGGGAAGCCTTGGCCCAGCAACAGCCCGCCCCGGAGACGCATCTGAACCTGAGGGTGGGCACCTGGCTTCCGCGCGTCTTCGTCCCGCAGGCCTCGCAGAACCACTTGCTCTTGCTGGCTAACTCCCTGGGGTGGAAAAAACAGCGCAGGGCCTCCTCCTGCCAGCGGAGGCCGCAGGGAAAGGCCGCGTCAGCAGACCCTTTCCATGGGCACGCGGCCACCCCACAGGGGAGGGCTGAGCTCCGCTGCAGGTTCCCCCACTGTCCCCCAAGCACCCCACTACCAGCGCTACATCTGTCAGGATCTTCCACCCACTGGAGGAGAAAACACAAGGAGCCCTGGTTAATACGAGGGTGAGAAAATTAGAAACAGGATAGAACTTCTGCTGCTGCTCAAAGAAATTGGCCACCTAGAGCCGTGCAAGTGAAACAGAGTTGTTAGTGTCCGCGGGTGGAAGGACACGGGGAACTGGCATGGCGGGGGAAACTGGCATGGCTGGGCGACCCTTTCTCACCCAGTCTCTCACCAGTGTTTTCAGAGGCTTTGCGTCCACGTCATAGAGAGGGAGGGAGAGGGTCAGCATACTGCTGTTCCTACTGCTCTCTCTGGTAGAGAGGAGGCAAACCAGGGACTCCTTCACCCGGATCGTGTACAGGGCCTGCAGCCTCTCTACCTGCAAGAAGGCGCCAAGGACGGGTGAGGCTATGGCCACAGTTGGACCTGTTGGACTGACGAGCCCTGACGCTCCCGGCAGGTACCGGGAAGGACACCAGGAACCGTGGCAAGCGGTCTCCACGGATCCCTTACTACAAATGCACAATGGTGAGCGACCTCTACAGGTCCTGGGATTCCAGCTTCAGCTCTTACCAAGTCCACATCATCTATTTGATCCTTAAGAAGGTTCCAGAACGTGAGGTAGAGCTGAGCAGCATCGTGCTGGACAAACACTGGTTAAAAAAAAGTAACAGCACATCAGTGCGTTCGCTGGAGAAGTCCCATGTCCTCACGACCCCTAGCTACGTGAACACTCACCACCTTGCCTTTGACTCTCCCAACTCCCAAAAGAGGTCAGGAGGTACCACATGGCAGGCGCTCAGGAAGGGAGAAGCATTCTTGGTGCTGGATTTGACAGAGCCTCTTAAACTTAAGCCTCGGGAAGGGAACAAGGCTCTGCTCTACGCACTCTGAAGGGTATGGTACACCGGCAGCCTCTGTGGAGGGGGAAAGGCTTGCCACAGAAAAGCCAGAGCAGGAGCTGAACTCCCTGAGCGGCGCAGAGAGGTGGGCACATGCTGCCGGGCCGGCCGGGGGCTGCCGGGCATGCCCCGCCTGGCCCCACTGGATTCCCTAGAACAGACCAGCTCCAGGGACTCTCCAGAGCACAGGAGCGGCGCCTCCTCGCTCCATCCGCTGCTCTGTTCCCAGCTTGCACCTGGCCAAGCCAGAACTCTGAAGGGAGGGGCAGACCACAAGATGGAGCGCCAGACGGCATTTCTTCTCAGCAAAGAAAGAAAAATTACTCCTTTTTTTTTTTGCTGTACTTTTTTTTTTATTTATTTATTTTTGGGTCTGGTTGTGGGGCCTGAACTCTGGGCCTGGGCGCTGTCCCTCAGCTCTTCAGCTCAAGGCTAGCGCTCTACCACTTGAGCCACAGCGCCACTTCCGGCTTTTTTTCTTTTTGCTTCTGTGATGCTGAGGAATCGAACCCAGGGCCTCAGGCATGCAAGGCAAGCGCTGTACCACTGAGCCTCCATATTCATACCATATCCATAACCCCAACCCATTCCACAGAGTTCTTCCTCACACATTCCCTAACCCTAAACCTTTCCTGGACCCTTACTCTAACATTTCCTCAAGTGCATCCCCAACCTCACCCTTTGTCTACCATATTTTCCCTACACCCTTTCCTGACCTTAAGCCTGACCTATTCCCATAATCCAAATGCTAGCCCTAACCTCACCAGATTGATAAAATCCTAACACTGACAATGACCCTGACTCTGACCCTAACCCCCAACCCTAGCACATGCTCCAACATGTACCCTATCAGTTATCCTAACACATACCTTACTCTAAAACCCTAAACTGTACCGCATACCCTAACAAGTACCCTAACAAATATAGTAAACAGTGTCACATTCTATCAAGTACCCTAACAAGTACTGTAAACCATACAGGCACATTTACGTACACCCTATCATCTACCTCAAATTCACCTTACCGCATACCCAAACACGTGCCCTTAATTAACCCAAACCATAACCCTAATATACACTATAGCGTATACTTTAACCCTAACACATACCCTAACTCTAACACGAACCCTGACATATACCATAAACTTCATTCTAACTCACACACATGCCATAACATACACTCTAAACGCTAAAATGTGTGGTAACAATGACTCTTACATGCACTCTAATACATGCAAGTACTCTTATAGTTAGGTAAACTAGCATGTACCCCAAACATACCATAATACATACCTTAACTCTAAGCCAAACCCTAACAAATGCTCTAACATGTACCCTACTGGTTAACACAGACCCTAACCATTATCATGTACTGTAAAGCTTACATATACCCTAACAAGTACCCTAAACTTATCCCAACATACTTCCTAACATGTTGCCTAACCCAAACCATAACTGTAACCTTAACACATACCCAAACACATACTGTAACACACACTCTAAACATTTACATGTATCCTAACAAGTACTCTAACATGTACTTCAAGTCATACATGTACCCTAGCATGTGCACAAAACATACCCTGTTTGCTAACATGTACTCTAAACACTAACTCATACCCTAACAAGGACCCTAACACTTATTCAAAACCATGCAAATACCCTTAAATACACTCAAACTTGTACCTTAAAGTAACCCAATGTACACCCTAATATGTGGCCTGACTTTAACATGTCTTTGAACCCCAACAGATTTCCCAATAGTACTCTAACACATTAAACATACTCTAGACACGCATATAATAACAAATACCCTAACACATATTCTATAAAGCATACAGGAACCTTACATGTACCCTGAATGTACCCTAACATACTCTAACTCTGACCTTTACATATACCCCAGGTACCTTGACACATACTTAAAAAAATTAATGTACCCTAACATGTGACTCAACCATATCCTAACATGTACCTTCACCCTAACGAATCCCCTGTGAAGTATGCTAACTCTAATACATACCCTAATATGTGCCCTAACTAACACACACTCTAGCATGTACCGTAACCCTAACAAATCCCCTATCAAGTGCCCTAACTCTAACACATACATGGACATGGACTCAAACACATACCCTAATATGTGCCATCACTTTCACATGTATGTTAAACCTAACAGATTCCCAATATACTGTAATACAAAAAACATGCTCTGGACACGAACCCATATGGTAACAAGTACCCATTCACATACTCTGTAAATTGTACCTGTACCCTGAATGTACCCTAACAAACTACAACTTCACATTTACCCTAAACGTAGCACATACCCTAATAAATACTCTAAATTCTAATACATTGTCCAAACCATCCAGGTAACCGTCTTACGTGTATCCCAAATGTGTAACCTGACACATGCATGTACCCTAACATATACCCCATCACACACCCTAATATGTACCCTGACTGACATGCATACACCACTCACTTCTCCTTTGCCACACCCCTCCTGTGCTCTGCCTCCCCACAAGCCCCGCCTCTGGACTCATTCTTGCCCCACCCCTATCATTCTCTGCCCCTACACAAGCCCCGCCCCTGGACCCCTCACTTCCATGCTCTGCTCCTCCCACAAGACTAGAGGGTGCAGTCTGCACTGATTCCCACCAGAGGGCGCTCTGGGTGTGTGCACGGTCCTTCTCAGGACCAGGGGCTGCAGTGGATAAAGTAGAGTGAAGTGTTGAGCGTTAACGCTTTCTTAATTGATGGCTGCTTTCAAGAATGATTCCCACCAGAGGGCGCTCTGGGTGTGTGCACTGTTCTTCTCAGGACCAGAGAGTGCAATGAACACTGATACCCACAAGACGGCGCTCTGGGTATGTACACTGTCCTTCTCAGGACCAGAGGGGGCAGTGAGCCCTGATTCTGACCAGAGGGCGCTCTAGGTGTGCACACTGTGCTCCTCTTGTCCTGGCCAGGTATGCAGTGTTCACTAATTCCCACCTGATGGTGCTCTAGGTGTGTGTACTGTCCTCCTCAGGACCCCAGATCCTCCCACAAGCCCACCCCTGCACTGCTCACTTCTTGCTCTGCTCCGCCCACAAAACCAGAGGATGCAGTGAGCACTGATTCCCACAAGAGGGTGCTCTAGGCTTGCACACTGTCCTCCTCTCCTCAGCACCTAGGGTGCGGTGATAGCTGATTCCCACCGGAGGGCACGCTAGACAGGTGAGCACCTTGCTCGTCTTCTCAGGACCAGGGGTGCAATGAGGGCTGTTTCCCACCAGAGGGTGCTCTAGGCATGCTCACCGTCCTCCTTTCCTCAAGACCAAGGGGTGCGGTGAGCGCTGATTCCCACCAGATGGTGGTCTAGCTGTGTACATGATCCTCCTCTTCTCAGGTCCAGGGGATGCAGTGACCAATGTTTCCCACCAGATGGTGCTCTAGGCCTGCACATGATCTTCCTCATCTCAGGACCAGAGAGGTGCAGTGACCACTGCTTCCTACCAGATGGTGCTCTAGGTATGCACACTGTCCCCAAGACCCTTGGCGTCCCACCAGCCCCGCCCCTGGACCGCTCACTTCCTGCTCCTGCCCCACCCCTGCAGTGCTCCACTCCTCCTCCTAGCCTGTAGCTGCAGCTACTTCTGCCCAGGACCCTGTAAAACTTGAAGCCCTGATGAAGTGTCCCAAAGCCTCAGTGCCAGAGACAGACCAGCCTCTGTTTGGTCCTGCTGCAAACTGTAGTGTCCCAACCCCAGAGCAGTCTTGTCCCAGTGTTACGGGGAAAAAAGTCCACTGTTCAGACAGCCTCACTTAAAAAGATGACTTTCTTGGGGAAGTGGAGAGCTAACCGGCCAGGGACGCAGCACAGACTCGGGAGCTGAAACTGCGACCCCGAACAACCCACAAGCTAGGGTTTTTAAAGGCAACATCCACGCCTGGCCACGCACAGGTGGCCAACGGGATTGTAAAACCACATAAGGGTTGCATGTTTATGTCCGTGGCTGGTGGGTTACAGTCCGACTCCTAGGAACTGTTTGAACTAACCTATCATTCTGGCTTGCATTGGCGGGCAAATTTGGGGTCCCCACACAAAGCAAGTGGATATTCTTACTCTTGGGGTTTGTATATTCTGGAAACATGATGTTATAGGCCCTGCATCCTTGAAGCTGGGGGCTGTTACAAAGACAGCTACGGGAGCTTTATTACAGAGATAGCTACAGGAGGATGCGCAATGTGCACACCGAGGCATCGACTCCCTTGAAGCAGGAGGCAATCGATCACGGGGTGGAATGCACAACGTTGCACGGCAGGCACCGTTCTAATTGGGCAGGGTATGACATAGGGGGGAATTCCATGTGAAATAGGTTTTAAGGTCTCCCTTCATGGCCTCTCTTTGTTTTTAGTAAAGGGTCAACTTCTCGGCATAGTTTTCCTCACACAGTCTGGGACCTTAACAGTCTAGGAGACCCTTTGCCCTACACCAGCTCTCAGTGAATTCTCAGTGTCAGCTCAAGCCAGCAGTCAGGGCCAGCAGTGATCTGCTGGGTGCCAGGAAGGAGATGGGGCTCCAGAGGAGCCCCAGCAATAGGGAGGTAAAATATGGAGGTAGAGGCTGCCCAGCAGAGGCAGGAACATTGTAATGGGTTGTGTTCCCAAAGTTCATGTATGCATGCTCTCATCACCCAATACCTGGGAATGTGACCTTACATGGAAATGGGCTTTTGGCAGGAGATCAACTCCAGTTCCTGTTGTTATTGTGCCCCTAAAAGGGGGAAATCGGGTCCCAGAAATGCACCCAGGGATGATCCTCTGCAGAGACGTCACTCTGCTCTCACAGGCTCAGAAGCTGAGAGAAGACCTAGAACTCACAGTGCCTTGTACCTCCTGAGGGAATGTGGCCCAGAAGACACTTATTCCATGCTGCTAAACTTCAGAGCTATGAACACAGATCTCTAAACAACCCAGTCTGCAGTGGTGTGTCATAGCAACCCTAGACCCTTATGTATGTTTAAATCCTTTATAGTATAAATCAGTTATAGCTAATCATTATCATCTAGTTAAGTATCATTTAAGACAGGGAGGATGTTAACACTAAAAACCAGTCCTCACATATCCCCATAAAAG